GCCAAATTACGTCGCGTTGCGCGCTGGCTGCGACCGGAAATGCGCGGGGATGACCGAGGCCGAGTAGGAGCAGCATGTAGGCGGCGATTTGCATCGCAGCGACTGCTTACACCACAGTGCTCGCGTGCACCACAGCGCGCGCGCGCACCGCAGCGCCCGCGCACGCCGCAACAGCAATGCACAACACAGCGCCTGCGCGCACCAGTGCTCGCGCGCGCCGCAGCGCTTGCACGCGCCACAGCGAATGCGCACACCGCAGCAACCATGTGCAACACAGCGCCCGCGCACACCGCAGTGCCCGCGCGCGCCGCGGCGCCCGCGCACAATGCAGCGCCCGCGCGCGCCGCGGCATCCGCGCGCAACGCAGCGCTGGCGCACGCCACAGCGCCTTATTGCTTGCGTGCACGTGCGTCGGATAAGGTCGGGCGCGCACCGATGCCCACCCTTCCTCCGCCCTTATCTTCGTTGGGGGAGGAGGGGGGCGACATATGTTCCGAGGTGAGTTGCGCCCGTCCGATCCCGACTCTCGAGTTTCGTTCTCGATGTCGGCAGTCCGATTTCGACTTCGTCGTCCGACCCCGACTTTCCGACGCCTTGGTTTTTTTTTCAATCTTGATTTTGTATGTCTTTGAAGAAAAAGACCGCAGGAGGTTTGGGATCATTGGCTCGCCTCGCTCGAAGGGGCGCGTCGACGTTTCCGCCCGCTCGCGGGCGCAAGGGCCTCTTGGGAGTGTTTTGCGCCGCCGCGAAGTCGCGGCAAGTCAGGTTGATTCTCGGCACTCGCGTTATTAATTATTAGTTCCATTCGCCCACTTTCCACCCGCCTGCCCTCTGCCTCTGTCTTCTCCGCTCGTGAGTCCACAGGGGGGCTCTGCCTGGTAGCCTCTGGTGTCGTGCAGGGTGTCTTTTTATTATATGCGCGTTCCTAGCGAAATGGCTGACTGGTTCTCGCTTCCTTGAATGATTCTTGGATGCCGGCCTCTCTTGGGCCCCCAGGGGCCCCTGTTGTCGCCCGGCCTTCCCCCTCTTGCCGCGCATCGCGGCGACGCCTGTGGGCCTCTGTTAGGTGCTGAATTCTATCGGCCTGTCATGCGCCGCGCCGCCCATTCTCGTTCACGAGGTGTGCGAGTCTTCCCGGGGCGCGTCTTTTTTTGGGTCTTCCCCCCCGTCTCTGGCCGCTGGCTGTCGGTGAAGGCTCGGAGTACATGGCGCTCGCGCTGGAGCGCGATCTGGCCCGGGGCTCCGCCGGTGGACACCTCCTTCGCGCGTTAGTAGGGCATGTGGTGTTGGCCTGGATGGTCCGTCGCGAAGCCTTGTCTATTTCTATCAGTAGATGCGCGTTCATTGAAGCGACTGAAAGTGTCGTGGCTTCTTCTGGCTTCATGTCTCGCTGGAGATCCGTCGGCTCGCTGCTACCCCGCCTCCTCTCGACCGACCTGCGCGCGCCCTGGCGCCCGCAAGTTTGCGCTTCTGACGCATCTGAATATGGTCTCGGAGTGTGTCGTCGCAACCTTCGTGAAGATCAGGTTGCCGAATTGGGTCGCGTCAGTAATCGGGCTCGTTATCGCGTCGACGGGGCTGAGAAAGGCTAGGGGGGGGCGCCCTTGGGCCCGGTGGAGTTGCCCTCCAGCGTCGAGTTGTCTGGCCCACCGACCTTGGACGAGGCCGCCGCCGACCCGCCTCTCGAGCCCGACCGCGGGCTCAGGAACGCGGGCTCTTTGCCGTTCGCGGCGGCCCCCGCAAACCGCGTGAAGTTCGCTGATTGGAAGGGCGCGCGAGCTTTCAAAGCCACATATACTTTCGATATCATGCACAACTGGAGGGGGGCCCTCGCGTTGGCCTACAAGCATATGTTACGCTCTGCGGCCACCGCGCGGCGGCGTGCCGTCGCGTTCGTCGACGGCGCGCGCCTGGCCCTCGCGCCGCGTGAGACTTGGGCCAAGTCCCCCCGTCTTCAGGCCGCAATGCTGAAGCTCGCTGCCTTGTCTTCGGCATCGGGGCGTCGATCGCGCGCGCGTCGGGTGCCGAGCGAACGCAATCCTTCGGACCTTCTATCTCGCAGGCGTCTTGGCTGGTTCTCTGGGCGCCGCGGGCCTCGGCTGGCCGCAGCCGGGCAGGACGGCCCACCCCCGGCCGGCGCGCGCTCATTGCGCGGGTGGTGGCCTGGTGAGCTTGCCCCCTGGCCGCTGCGCTCCAGACTTCGCGGGCGGAGGCCGCGCGGCGTCTGTCGGCGGGGAGACAGCCCGGGTCGTTGACGTCTCCAGGGCAGCCCGCGATCCGGCCCTCGACGGAGATCCTCTACAAGAAAGCAGCGATGGCCTTCATAGCGTTCCGCTTGGCCCACCGCCTGGATTGGACGTCGGCTGCCGAGATGAACTCGGCCATCGCCACCCACCTCGACCATTGCTTCATGAGCGGCCGCTCCTCGGATCAGGGGCCCCAGCCGCTTGCGAGCCTCGCCCGCTTCTACCCCGACCTGCGCGGATCGTGGAAGAGTCAGTGGCCGAGGGCGACCCCGGCGTCTATGGCCTGGAAGCGGCGGATCCCCGCGGGAACCAGATTTCCGCCCCCGAAGTCGGTTGCGACGGCGGTGCGCCTCCTGCTCGCGGAGGCTGGGGCCCCGCGGCGGCGGCCCGGGTTGCCCTGACTGTCGCTGCCTACTTCGGTCCAGGGGGGGCCTTCAAGCCTAAAGGCAAGAGCCTGGCCCCCCCGGCCCCTGCTGCTGGAGTGCAGCACCGGCATTGGGGTCTTCCGTTGCGCGACGTTGTCTCGCGGATCCTCAGCAAGACAGGGCTGCGCGGCGAGAGTATGCTGATCGACCTCGACCCGCTGTTGGAGCCAACCCTCGCGCGCCTTCGGGGCTCGGCGGTCGCGGGCGCCTCCCTCTTGCCGTTCGCGGCCGCGGCCTTGCGGCTGATGCGCAGCCAGCGCGCGGCGTTGCTCGGGCCCTCCCAGGTCTCGGACTGCCTCTGCAGCTTGAGGCACGGAGGCGCCTCGGGCGACCTCCTGTCGCGTCGTCGGGAGGCGCTCCAAGTGCAGTTTCGGGGGCGATGGGCCTCGATGAAGGGTTTGAAGCGTTGCGGCGGAGAGAGACACAGTTTCTCGCCGAGCGGTCCGCGATCCACGGCGACGTTTTCAGGCTTGGCGGGGCGACGGTGCAGCGCTTCTGGGCCGCGCGCGCGGCGGGCGGCGTTGAGGGGGCCAGCCTCGGCCACCAGGTGCCCCGCGCGCATGTCGGCGGCGCGGGAGGCGCGCCGCCTCCGCGGCCAGTGGCCCGCAGACGCTCGCAGGCCCCTGCCGGCTGCCTTCCCCGCCCCTCCCAAATTCAAATTTGCGCCCATCTACGGGGCGGCTTTTCGCGAGCTTTGAGGAGGGGGGATCGCGCGCCCAAAGGCACTCCAGGGTCTTCCTCGAGACTTGCGCCGGGGCGGGGCCGCGTTTCAAAAGCCATCGGGGCTTTGGGTTTTCCTTCGGTCGATCTGGATTTTAAAAACTCCGCGGGGGAACATCATTTTCACAGCTGCGTTTGAAAAAGCTGGTCCGGGAATGGATTCCCGGGGGCTGCGTGGCCAGAGTGTTTCTAGGTACCCCTGCGCCTCCAGGAGTTGAGTTCTCAGGCATGCTCTACGAAACGCTCAGTGCCCCATGTGGCCCCTTCGCGCGAGTTGTCGCTTGTGGAGCGAGGTGGACTCACCGCCGGCAGTGCATCTTTCTTGTTCAGATGCAGGACTAATTTGCGCGTCTGGTTTGGCGTTTCCGCTTATATTGAGAAACCAGCCACGTCGCTACTGTGGGCGGCCCCCCGCGTGATGGAGTTGCGCAGGAAAGCATCGCATCAAAGCGTTAATTTTCACATGTGCCATGTCGAGATTCGGTTGCACAAGTCAACTCGCATCTCTTTTTGGTTTTCCCCTCCTTCGCTTCTTGCCGTAGGAAACGCAACGGCCGGGGGGGGGGGGGCTCTGCGGCCAGACAAGGAAGTTTCGTGCCGTCCTATTTGGCAAGGCTCCCGGCGGCAACAACTGGACTGCCTTGGCCGCCTCTTCCCTTTCCAGGCACGCTCGAGAAATCGCCCGTCTTATGATTGATGGTTCTCAGCGGTTGAGTCTCAGTTGTCTCTGGAACTTGGCCTCAGGCGTGACGCCTGTTGATGATTAGTTTGTTTGGTATTGCTGCGTTCTCCTACTTAACCCGTGTTTTGTTTTTGAGTTTTTGGTCCGGCCTTGCGGTGCAGTCTTTCGGGTATCGGGAATCCTAAGTTACCCCCGTGCCTCACCCCGAGTTCGCCCCAGAGGCCTGCACGGTCTCGGGCTGGATTGCTGATGTCGCCTGCGGTCGGAATTGTCACAAAATACGTCTGGCATCCAGCGTTTGTTCGGGTGTGCTGGTTGATGTGATATGGGTATGCACGAGAGATAGGACGTCGGGAGGCCACCGTTGCCCCCCGCGTGCGACCCGTCGGCACGCGGCTCAAGCTCTCCCTCCCCCCTGTTCGGTCTCACCTTGCGTCTCGTAAGTGCTCACGTGAATGCGCCCTCTCGGGAACCCGAAGTTGCCATCGTGCCCAACCCCGAGCTCGCCCCAGAGTCCTGGACGGTTTCTGGCTGGATGGCTGTTGTCGCCTGCGGTCGGAATTATCATAAAGATACGTATGACATCCATCGTGTCTGGGGGTGCTTGTTATTGTATGTTGTCGGGATTTGTTATGCTGTTTTGCGTGTATGTTTGTTTGTTTTGTTTTTTGTATGTTGTCGCGCGTGCAAGGGAAAACGGAACATGTGGACCGTCAGGAGTTCACTTACAGATTGGGGGTTGGCCGCGGATCAGCGGCATCAATTTGTTCCCCGGTGGAATTTTTTTTTTGAACCAAAAAGTGGCCACGGAAGAGACGGGAGGGAAGGACGAAGAAGAAGGGAGGGGAGGAGGAGGAAGAGAAGGAGTATCAGCAGCATTTTCAGCAGCAGGGTCACCCCGCCCCGCACGCCGCCGCGGCCCGGGAGGCCCGACGTTGCCCAGATCTGCAAGCAGCACACCCTGGTCCGCCCACGCCGGCCCACGCCGCTCAAGGGCGCGGGGGGGGAAGAAAGACGATCCAAATGGGGGATTGGATCGCGTATCCGTGTGGGGGTGCATCGCTTCATGGGCTGGGCTCGGTAGACGTGAAGGAGCCATAAAGGGCCGTCGGTCGGGGTGGCAAGGGGAGTACCAAAAGAAGGGGATTGTGGCAGGTGGTTGCGGAGCAGGAGTAGCTGGAGGCAGGTCCTGTCTCTGGCTGGCGTTTTGACCACCCGTGGGCGCTGGCTCGGTAGACGGTAGACAGGACAGTAGCCGGCTCCTTCTGTGCTATGTGGTTGGGGTCGGTTTGGCTGCGGCTTGCGATGGGGGTTTAGCGCCGTCGGCGTGCTCTCAGCTCGCCAGCCGAGCGTCCAGTGATTGGTCCGCGGCGGAATGGGTTCCCCCCCGTGAGTGCGGTCGAAATCGGTGTCCATTTTGACCAGGACTCGCAGTCGGCGTCGCCGCGGGTGCTGCCCACTCGAGAGAGAGGCGCCTGCCGAACACCGGCCGCTGCTGGCTTTGGATAACATGTGTTGTTGGGCATTGCACCCATGTTTGTGCTTACCCATTGCGGGCGTGCCAAGGGATGATGACAATGATGATGATGATGATGATGATGATGATGATGATGATGATGATGATGATGATGATGATGATGATGATGATGATGATGATGGTGATGGTGATGGTGATGATGGTGATGATGATGATGATGATGATGATGATGATGATGATGATGATGATGATGATGATGATGATGATGATGATGATGATGATGATGGTGATGGTGATGTGATGGTGATGGTGATGGCGATGGTGATGGTGATGGTGATGGTGATGGTGATGGTGATGGTGATGGTGATGGTGATGGTGATGGTGATGGTGATGGTGATGGTGATGGTGATGGTGATGGTGATGGTGATGGTGATGGTGATGGTGATGGTGATGGTGATGGTGATGGTGAGCGTGAGCGTGATGGTGATCGTGAGCGTGAGCGTGATGGTGATGGTGATGGCGATTGTGATGATGATGGTGGCGATGATGGTGGTGGTGGTCATGGTGAGTATGATGTTGCCGATGTTGATGATAGATATGATTCCTCTCGCTTCGCGGGGTGCACGCCCGGAGCAAGTGCAGTCCAGACGTTGTGGGGCCTGGTGGAAGCCTCTTTGGGGCCTCTTGGGGGCCTCTTGGGGGCTTCTTGGGGTCTCTTGGGGGCTTTGGGGGCCTCTTGGGGCCTGTTGTGGGGCCTCTTGGGGCCTCTTTGGGGCGTCTTGGGCAGTCTTGGGGCGCTCTTGCGCCGTTTGGCTCCTTCGGAGGCCATCCTGTGGGCCTCTCGCGGCCGCTTTAGGGCTCTCTTGGGGTCCTCTTGGGTCGTTTTGGGGGCCTCTTGGACCGTCCTGGGGGCCTCGTTGAGCCGTCCTGCATGGGGCCCTCTTGGGCCGTCTTGGGGTCCTCTTGGGGGCCTCTGGGGCCAGCCTTGGACCATTTTGGAGGTTGCTTGGGGCGTCATGGACCTCGAAGGATAGAAAAAGACGAGAACGCTAAAATCCTTCAAACACTTAAGGAAAACAACGATTTTGGCCTCTGGAGTCGCTCGTGGGGGTCCTCTTGGGGCCCTCCGGGGCCTTCTTGGGGGCTTTTTAGGCCATCTTGGGGCCATTTGGGACCGCCTTGGGGGCGGCTTGGCCCGTCTTGAGGCCATCTTGAGCCGTCTTGACGCACTCATGGGCCCCCTAGACCCCCAAGGGGCCCAAGTCGTTGATTTCCCATCGGTTTCCGTATAGTTGGGGGCTCCAGAAGGGGGGGGGCACTTTGGTCGGCTGATGTGGCGTGACTCCTGGGCCTGGGGGGGGATGGGGGGAGTCATAATGATGACACATTACACAACATGTACAATGTATGCAATCATTGGATACATTAGATACATTACATTACAGCATCCGCGGACCTGCCTCCGGCAACACGTCACTTCCGGACGTGCATTTTACAGGCCTGCGCCACATCCGCCGACCCCCCTAAATGTAGATCGTTCCCATGGGGGCGTCCAGGGTGATGGTGATCTCGAAAGCGAGAGGGTGGGTTTGGGGGGTGTCGTGGGGGTATCATTGGCCGTTTGGAGGCCGTCTTGGGCGTCTTGGAACGATCTTTCAGCGACTCGGGGACTTATTGCACCGACTAGGGTGCGGCTTGGGGCCCGCTTGGATCGTCGGGGAGTCCTCCCCCTATGAGGGGGGGATAATGGAGGGGGGAGCACTCTCACACGCCTAGAGACCCACATGAGGTCGGCGGATTTATCCTCACCCGACTTCATGCTCGTCGTGGCTTCGCCTTAGATGCATCGTTTCGCATGCATGTGCAGTCAGGGCGCTGAAAGAAAGGATTATTTGTTATTTGTTCAGGAGGGGGGCTCTTCTTATTCGGGCCGCTCCTCGGACCTCTGGGTTGGGGAGCCTTCTCGTGGCCGAGGCTCGCATTGACCATGAAGGTCCTGCCGGTCTTCACTCCCAGACAATCGATGGCCAGGTTGTTATCATTGCGTGGCCCCCCGAAGTCCCAAACTTGTCTCCAGCGCCGGCTATTCATCCCGAGTCGTTGTTTGACCGTTCCGGGGCCCAGCGATGGCCCCTGAAGAAAAGCATCCGTGTCGGTTTTGCCAAAACGTTGGAGGTCTGTCATTGCGTGGTATCCGACCCCGAACCGAACCGATGGGTCGGTTTCGTAGGTCACCGCGGCGATCGCGGCGGCCACAGATCGGAGCAAGTGGTGGTCAAGGAGTGGCATGTTCTTTCACGACCCTCCGATTTTGCGGTGTCGAGGTGGCTCATGTGTAAATTCTGGCGGCAGAGAATTGGGCAGTCATGTTTTTGGGGGAGCGCGAGAAGAGGACGCGCGAGGTAAACAATCGCAAACGAAAAGCACAGGCAGAAGTGGCACCGCTCAAATGCTGCGCGCAAGAGTGCGGGGTGATTTTCACAGAGATTGGTCATTTGAGCCGCGGCCAAGTGGAGGACCACCGGAAGGGGAAAGGAGCCAGAGTGGTCTGCGGGAATCGCAGCAAGCGCGGCATCACCGCGAGAGGAGTCGCCGATGCGGCAAAGCGGCGCCAGCAAGATTTGACGTGCGCGGCGTGCGGGGAAGCTTTCTCGGACACGGAACATGTGAGAAAAGGAACAAGAGCATCGGAAGATGGAGCCGCCGCGCGTGGTGTGCGCAGGTTGCAAGACTCTCGGGTTCACGGCGCGCAGTTGGCAGGCGTATCAGTGCAGCGATGCGTGCCAGACGAAAGTGCCCAAATCGGCGGCTTCCGCGGCCAGTAGCAATGTCGCGCGCGACGTTAGAAAGGTCAGCGTGAACCTGAAGTGCAAGGCATGCGAATGATTTCACTCGGGTGGCCTGGTGTGGAATCGGATCAGCAATGGCGCTGCACGTGGCGAGGTCCGTGGAGGTGGGACCAGGATGGGGAGAGAGCCTAAAGTGGAAAACGTGCAGATGATGCCCATCCGGTTGGGTTGGTGCACAATCGAATCAGCAATGTCGTTGCACCTGCCGAGTTCCGTGGAAGTAGGACTAGCAAGGGGAGAGAGCGAGAAGGAGGACGAAACCGATGGCAGGCAGAAAGCCGAGAAGGAAGAGGGGGAGGAGAAGGATGAGCAGGAGGGAGAAAGGAGGAGGAGGAGGCCTAGGGGGAGGAAGAGGAGGAAGAGGAGGCAAGGAGGAGGCAATGATGAAGAGGAGGAGGAGGAGGAGGAGGAGGAGGAGGAGGAGGAGGGGGACGGGAGAAGGAGGCAGGGGATGGGGCGGAGGAGGGGGAGGAGGGGGAGAAAGAAAGCGAAGGGAGGGAAAAGTGAGATTTTGGTTTTCGGGCTATAGTTTAGTGTTCGGGTGGCCGTTCGAGACGCTTGTGGCATCCTCGGAACGCATGTTTGCATCTTGGATCTGGAGACCTTGCGCGGGCCCCCGAATCGTGAATGTTTCTTGGCTTTCGGTCCATCCGGACATGGTTGTGGGTCAGAGTCTGAAGGGCGTTTCGTGGGGTCTCGTGAGGACACTATCGGGGGACGAGGGGGGGAGCATCACAGTCCTGAGGGGTATGTCTTGGGGTCATCGTGTTTTTTTCCGGCTGGCAGATTTGCGTTCGCCGTGCACGCATGGGGGAGCGGGGGGGAGGCCCGCGGTCATTGACGGCGGACAGATATCAAGACACCAGAGGAATTATTATGGAATGGACTTCGGTCCTTCCCGCCACCGTGATTGGGGTCGGGGTTTGAGGCCACTCGGATAGCTGATGGGGTCTCGCGGGGGGCGGGCCTTTTTCGGGGATGATTTGTAGCCGTTTTCTAGCCTTTGGACGGTTTCTGGGGAGCTTGGAGGGGCCGTCTGGGGTTCTCTCCGGGTTTCTTGGGGGCCTCTTGAGGATTTTTCGGGGCTTCATGGAACAATTTGGGGGCGTCTTGGAGCCGAAGGCTCGAAATGTCTGTTCGGATTTCCCCTCGGTGCCCTCAGCTGAGGTTGTCCCGGGGCCCTTTTGGACCGTGTAGGAGGTTTCCTGGCCCATGTTGGTGTTGGGTTGTTTGGGAGTTGTCTTCGGGGTTTCTTGGGCCGTCGTGGGCGTTGTGATATTTGAGGCGCATTTGCTGAGCATGTACTTATTCCCAAAAGAACGGGACTTTTTTTGCTTCTTGAACTCAGTTTGGAAGCCCGTCTTTGCGGGGGGGGAGGCTCGCTGGGGGCTATCATGGGCGCTTTGGAGGAGCAACCTGGAGGCGTCGGTTCGAAATGTCCGTTCATATTCCCCCTCGGTGCACCCAGCTCGGGCCGTCCTGGGGCCTTTTTTGGGCAGTCTAGGGGGTGTGTTGGTCCGTCTTGGAGTTCTCTTGGGTCGTTTTGGAGCTCTCTTGGTGCCTTTTGGGTAGTTTGGGATGTTGTGATCGCCCAGGAGACATGTCAAAAAAACGCGTTTTTTTTTCAAGGGAACGGGACGATCTTTGTTTTTTGAGTCCTTAGTTGAAAGTTTCTTGGAGTCCTCTTAGAGCGTCTCGGGAGGATTGTGGGGTGTTTGGAGGCTATTTGGGGCAGCTGGGAACAGCAATCTGGGTGGCGTCTTGGATCGAAGGCTCGAGATGTCCGTTCGGATTCTCCCTCGGGGCCCCCAGCTGGGGCCGTCATGGGGCCCTTGTGGGCCGTCTCAGGGGGCTATTGGCTTGTCCTGGGGTTATCTTGTGCCGTTTCGGAGCTCTCTTGGGGACTTGTTGGGCCGCCTTTAATGCTGTGATCGCCCCAAAGGCGAATATGCTAAGAATGCACGTTTGCCCGAGGGAATGGGACGATTTGTTGCTGCTGGAAGGCCTCTTTGGAAGCTTCTTGGAGGCTGTTTTACGGCGTCTTGGGAGGATTGCGGGCTGTCTGGAGCCCGTTTCGGGCGAATTGAAACAATTGTTCGTCGCATCGGGGCCCTTTTGGACCGTCTTGGGGACCTCTTGGGGCCCTCTTGACCGATTATGGAACCCTCTATCTCCCCATGACGCGTTCGTCCGGGGGTCGTCCTGGGCGGGGGATTGGGGGTCAAATTCCCAGTTTGGGGTCGAGGGGAAGAGTCTCACACGCCCAGGGACCCACGAGGGGTCGGCGGATTGTGATTAAATGAACGAGCAGCCGCTGGAGATGCCCTCCATCGCCTCGGGCCCGAAGCAGTGATTTACCAATCGACCTTCTGGGTCCTCGGCAGGCGGTGGATATAGATATATGTTGGCCCCCGCTGGGATTCTAGGACGTCGATGCCCCCGTGTGCGCGCCGCAAGGTCCTCGCTAATTCTGAACAGGACTCGTTGTCGGTTTCGCCACGGACATGGTTGTTTTAGAGGAGGCGTCGCCGGTTTCACCGCGACCGCTGTCGGTTTTGTTCGCGTTGCTGGCGTGCCGGTCAAAGGTCGGGGGGGATCCCCCAGATTCCTCACGTCTTGAGCACGTCAAGACAGTTTTGTTGCAGCTTCCGACGTGCGGCGGCTCGGGCCGCCTGGAACGACGCTGGGCGGAGAAGCTGGCCCCAAGGAAGTGGTCAAGAGGGAGCTCCTGGGCCGGGAGCAGCCACGACCCTCAAAAGGGTGCCTCATCGGTGTTGTGGGCGCAGGTGACCAGCGCCTTCCAGCAGATCCTCCACCACGACGGCAACCTGGACCTGTGCATCCGCTGCGAGTGAGCGCGCAAAGCAGCCCCTGCGTCCTCGGAGGCTCCTCGGAGGTCTCTCCAGTTTCTGGTGTGGTCTCCATGTGTTTCTGCGGGTCAGACATGGCCTCACTTTCGAGGATCGAAGGAGTTGGCATCCCTTCCTCGAAGGAAGCGTGAGGAAGGTCGCTGGAAGGCGGCGGAAGCAAAACGGGGGCGGCTCCTCTGGCGAACGCCAGCGGAAGCGAAAGACGTGCCTTTTTGGGGGGATCAAGCATGTCTGGAACCAGCCACGGGCTTTTCTGCGGCTTTCTACGGTTTTTTGGGAGGGCCTGCCGAGTCTTTCGGGGCTCTCCGCAGGTTCTCCCGAGTTTTTGTCAGAGGTTTCCCCGGAGAGAAGGGGGGAAGGAGGTGGGAAGAAGTGGGAGGGCGGAGGGAAGCGGGAGGGTGGCAGAGGAGGCAGGAGCAAGGAGGAGTCAGGGGGAGGAGGAAGTATGAAGGTGGTGGAGGAGGGAGCAGGGATGAGGGACGAGGGAGGGATGGGGCCGGGATGAGGATGTGAGAAGGCGGGATGAGGAGGAGGAGGTACGTATGCCGGAGGCTGATCTCGACCACAGTGTTCCCCCCTCCTCGTCCCATCCTTCCTCTTCTACCTCCTCCTCATCATCCTGCTCGTTCTTCCTTCTCCTGCTCTTCCCAACCCTGCCGCTGCACCTCCCGTGTCGGGTGATCGCGATACCTTTGTCGTTTCTCCCCTGCTCCTCCCAGCCCAACGCTGGCAAGCAGCAAACCCCACCTCATCTTGGCTCCCAGACATCACCATGCCAGGGCCCAAGATGCCCCTGGCCAGGCACGGTGGTGTACAGATGCCTTGTGCGTATCCGCCTCTCTCCCTCCTCCCTCAGAACCACAGGAAGGCCGCCAGGACCACAAGCTACCTGCGAGGAGGACGAAGCCACGCGACAACCACGCGCCGCGCCGCAGCCCACGCCGGACTGACATGACGCTAGAGCAGAGCTCGGCAGACGCATCCTATGGCAGCACTGGGCCATCAAGAGAGCACCGACGAGCGGCACCAAATTTGGGAGGGATGAAGAGTATCAGTGAAATGTGCGTAGTCTTCCAACATGTGCGTGTTCTTCATTCGAGTTTTGGTTAAGACCTGGGCGCTTCTTCAACAGTAGCACTGTGATTGGGTCATCCGACCAGCGTGACATTCATATTATTCATGCCCCACGATGATTGGTCCCATAGTCCAGCGAACGCACTGATCGAAAAAGCGGTCACTGAACGACGTCATAGCCCAGGGAGCGCAACGGCAAGCGGTATTCAACAGCATGGGCACCAAGAGAGCACAAAACATGCTGCACTCAACCTCATTGGGCTGAAGGATTTCTGGGATCAAGTCCAGCAACAAGAATGACATCGCGCCCGCCGCGACGACAACGGACGGTGCCAACGAGACAGATCTATCATGAACATGTAGGATGACGATTGGGACATGCCAGGGGGGGGGGGGGGGGCGTCACGCAGCAGCGCCCTCAGCAATAATCAATAGATGGGGTTCGTGCCTGCTCGTGGGCGCCGTTGTCGCCATTGAGATGATTCGATCAGCCTTTCCAACATCATTCCCAGCGGCATGCAACTCACAAGAACATATTGACACACTCGCGGAGTTACGAGAAATGGCACTGGTGTGTTTCACATGTTGTTTGGCTTGCACGCGGTAGCCCAACTGACGCCAGAGGGCACGCGACGGACCAGTATCAGCAGGGCAGTGCGTTCGCCTGCGACGAATTACATCAATCGCTTATCGTGGAGCAGACAACGACATACCATGCGTAAAGTATTCGAGGTCCGCGCGAATTGTTGGGTCGGGATCGGCGGTGGACCGCGACTCGAGGCACCCTGCAGCGACTGGGGGCGCTCTGCGACACTCCGCAGTTGAATGGAGACCTACCCTGGAGCTCCCTGCAGCACTGAGCACCGACTTGTGTCCCGACTGCTCTGCCATCGGCTTGAGTCCACTAACAACAACCACCTGATCAAGTTGGCTTCTGAAGGGGCTTCAGCACCAAGGACCAGCTCTTGACAGCGCCCTGAGTATACAGGGGTCGTCCACTGGGGGGTACGGATTGTGGGGGAAGACATTATGGCTTGGGCCATGACGATATCTCAAAGGTATTTTGGTCCCTCTTCCTTCAATGCAACCCCCCTCGTCCGCGCACACCCTCTGCGGACAGCTGCGATCGGTTTCAAAAAGTATTCAAGCGGGGAGTGCACCACTGCCCTGCGTAGCACCAACTGTTCTAACCGCATGTACCAGAAGCCTACGCACCTTACCAGGCCGTTCTACGGGGAACAGAGGGGCACAGTGAAGACGACGTCATACACAGAAATCCAACACCGAACGCAGAGTCAAAGGATGAGCTACACTCAATTCTTCTTGAGTCGACGCGACACTCGAGCGCGTATTTCGACAAGTCTAGAACATTTGGTGACGAAGTAGTTCTGGTCATCAATTACACATTTCTGGTTATCTTGCAGTTTGCCAGCGCATCTTGCTATGCATGATAGTCGAGGTTTAAACGTGCGGATTTGCGCTGTGCGTTCACAGGAGTAAAGCCTTCACAAGTGCGACCAGATGTCAGGGACAGTCCACTGCACACGCGGTCATCAATGGAGACAAGCTCGAAGCCTCTGATGCCGGACAGAACGAGACACATACTTTCGTTGCAATTCAGCCTTTCACAAGTACCATGCGTGAGGCACATGAGCATACATACAGCATTGTTGTGCAAGTCCAGCCAGTTCCGAGATGAGCTAACAAGCAGCCAGCGCCGTCTGCACAGCATATTCAAGCTGGTTTGCAAAGCATAGACATCAATCGTTTGTACGGCTGCACACAATGGATACCACGACCATGTCATTGATAATTCGACGCGTGCAACGAGGCATTTTCCCATAATCGAGAATTCAATCTTGAGCCTTGGGAACATAAAGTTTGAGGGCTACCCGCACAGCCGCAGACCTTGATGTACATGCGCACATGGGAACACATACAACGTTACATCGCAAGGCAAGTGGCGCTATACATCTACATCTGTATACGCACATATGTATGTCCATACATATATAGGGCGAGCTGAATCGCAAACGACACTACAGCTGAGTCCGATCTGTTGTGGCCCGGGAACTTGATGCGCAGGCGGCCTCTACGAGTGACCATTGTTGAGATCGGGAAGGTTCTCGGGCCGTGGCCGCATGCGGCAGCGAATTTGGGGCTCAGCGTGCCGCGCCGCCGGTTCTGGTCCACCTCACTTCGGTACGACGCGCCATTAGCTCTCCGAGTGCTTCCAGACCTCTGGTGCGACGCGCTTCCCGATCCTGGCCGTGCAGTCAAGACGCTGAAATACGTAAGGACCGCCCTGAGCTCAGGAGAGGCTCTCGTTTCCGTGCCGTTCTTTGGATCCGGGTTGGGGGAAGTTCGTGGCCGAGGCTCGGCGTGGCAAAAAGATCTTTTTCGTCACTTGTTCAGCATTCTTCGTGGCAGCGTGATGCTTCTAATGCTGCCGGCCACCGCCTGTGGGTGAAGATTGCGAGAACGACCTCGTGGTGTTGATCGTTCTGCGGCGGGGGCCCTTGCCGACGGGCCCGCTGGTCGTCGTGACGTCTCCCTCTGCTCAGCAAGAAGTTGCACCCTGGAGCATCGTCTAGCAGTGCACTGGGCGATAGAAGCACCGCACCTTTTGTTTTCATGGACCCGAGCTGGAGCTCGTCATCTTCGCCAGCAGTTGGACTAGCAAGCACAGTTTTGCCCACTGAGGCACAATCAAGCAATCCATGTCCTCGGGCCTGGGTGCTCGATCCTCGATGCTCGATCCCCGAAACTCGAACCTCGATCCCTGAACCCCGAGCCTCGCTCCTCGAGCCTTGATTTTCGATCATGGAGCCTCGATCCTCGAAAACCGAGCCTTGATCCCCGAACACCTAGCCTGGAGCCTCGAGCCTCGAGCCCCGATCGTCGATCCTCGAGCCGCGAGCCTCGAGCCTGAAGTCCTGATTGTCGAGCCGCGAGCCTCGAGCCCTCAGTCATGGACCTCGAGTCTCGGGCCTCCCTCCTCGGAGCCTCCCCTCCTCGCGCTCCCACGGGCGTTGGCCGCCCTCGCCGCGCGAGGCGCGTTGGGCGGCCTCTAGTTTGTAAATGCTGGCCAAACCTCGGCGGCGCGCAGAAGGGGTGTGTGAGGGGGGCGGGGGCCAGGGCGTCGTTTGGCGTTACGGGGCGCTAGGGGGGGGGGGAGCGGAGCGCCGTTCAACAGTTTTCGAGTCTTAGGGCGGCTTCCATCAGCTCGCCTCGTCACAAGCGTTCCAGGGGTGCCAGAATCGTCCCGAGCGGTCGTTGGAGGCCCGAGTGATGGCCCGAAAACCAGGAAGCGGAAGGTCGCTATCGGGGGCATGTCGCCGATCTCGCTGATTCCAGCTCAATGTCCCCCCCCCCCCCTTGAGCCTATATGCCCCCTTTTCGTTCCGCCTCAGAGGGGGTGGCAGGGCGTCGTGGAACGAGGCTCCCCCTCCAGCAGGATGAGTTTTCGCAGGTTTTCGGAGTTTCCGTTGCTCCTTCGAGGCTTTGGAGCAGCTGCGGGATGCGTTCAAGCAGCTGTGCCTCGCCGAGAGGCGTCCGTGGATGCCCAGATCGTCCCACACGGCCGCCCGAGGTCCGAGCTCTGATCTGAGAGCCAGAGCTCTCTGGGCTGCGAGTCCATCAAGACGGAATGTTTGGGGCAATTTGTTGCTTTCGGGGGCCCCTGCTGGGCCCAGGGGCCGTCGAACAACGGCTCTGAATGAAGCACACGTCCTGGGCAAGGGGCGCAGAGTCCAGAACTCCGGGTGTCCATGTTGTGAAAAGATGATGACGGCGTCGGAGTTCGCATGGTAGGCAGGCATTACCCCCGCTGTCTTGCCGTTCCACTAAGTTCCCACTGCCCCCCCCTGGAGAGTCGAGGCCCGCTCCAGCAGCAGCCCGGAGCTCGACGGACGGGCCGTTGTCGGGGAGGGGGAAGAGCGGCCTTCAACGAAGGAAAGGGGGGATTCTTACACGCCCCCCGTTCAAAGACTTCTTTCTGGAAGCCCCGAATCCCTTCGAACAAGCGCCCTGCTTTCTAAGCTGGCAGACCCCGCTCGCCATACCCCTTCATGCGCGCCACCACAAATCGGCCTGACAGTTTTGATCGGCGCCGCGTTCCACGCGCGCGCCCGCTGGGCTGCCAGTGATCGGTGGGGCTCACGATCCCTCAGATCTTGGCGTCGTGAAACAATCACCACAGGCGTTTCTACAAGCTTCGATTGGTGCCCCGGGACCCTCTTCGGATCGAAAAAGCTTGAATTGCCGCGGATCAAGATTGGTGTCGACAGCTCGAGTCGGTCTTTGCTGCTTGATTTCGCGATTGTGTCAGGTGTTAGATCATGGGCCCTTCGCAAACGCAACCACCCAGCTCACGCGCAAAAGATAAATTTCAGCGGAGACCGCCGAGGACCCTAGAAGATCGCCGAAAATCGCGGAAAGCCGATGCGCAAAAAGGCTTTAGCTCGATCTATACACCTACGCCGATCCGGGCAAGGCCAACCCTGGGCTCGGGATCGGTGTATGTGTCTCCCTGGCCAGGCCAGGAAGGTGTACACACCGATTCTAGGCCAAGGACGGGCCTGCCCAGATCTGTGTTAATGGTGCCCTCTCAGAGGAGTACATGGTCGAACGCGTGATGATTTTTCGCGACGTCGGATCTCGTGGGGTGGCGGGGCCTTGGGGCAGCGCGCGGACAGCCCCTGGAACTGACCTCAGCGGGCCCTTGGCATCTTGTGGAGGGGTCTAAAGAGAGTTCAGGACACACAGCCAACATGTTGGGATACTGTCTTCCTCTGGCTTCGAAAAATACTCAATGTTTCTCAGAATCTTCCCCTGGCGCTTCGCGTACATATGGACGTTACTGAGGCCCGAAGGGGGTTTATTATTTGTCCTAGGTTCGACATGGCCCAGAGACTCTCAATAGCTTGTGGCCTTCCGGGTCCTTCCTGGTCCCAGGGGCCTTTCAACAGGATGGAGAATTGGTCTTTGGAGGAAAGCCCCAGAGTCCAGGATCCATTTCAGTCAGGACCCCCCCCTCGCTGCAAGAAGAGGAACAAACGGAAGGAGCCCGGCCAACCACTGGGCCTGTGTTTCCGAAGTTTCCTTTGCGAGGAGGGGAAGGAGCACCCCGACACTCACGATGGGCTTTTCTTGGGCAGCCCTGTGCGCCTGCTGAGCAGCCCTGTCCTGTTCGACCCCCCCCCCCCTGGATGCAGAGGAGGAGAAGGAGGAGGAGGAGGCGGCAGAGGATGAGGAGGGAGGAGAAGGAGGAGAAGGTGAGGAGGAGGAGGAGGCGACGACGACGACGACGACGACTTGCTGGTCGGCCTCGTTTGTAGCAGGGGCCGCCCTCGTTCCTGGGAGGTCCTCCAAAAGCGTTGTTTGGGGCGGCCTTCACCCGGTGCCTGCCTCCCGCGGGGTGCGTCTGAATGATCCCCGCGGCGTCAGGAACCAACGCTGGGGGCGACTTGACACGAACCCGCGGTAAGCGTTTCGGCCCCTAGGGGCTCGTCGGGCCAAATTGCCTTTGGTGCAGCAGCTGGCAGTGCAGCATCGAACGAGCATCGTCGACGACGGGGCAGGAGGCGGGGCGGAGAGATGCAGTGTGCAGTGGGGGGCCGATGCCGTCCAGGACCAGGTGCTGCCCGTATAGGCCCGCCGAGACATCCCCCCCGGGGCTGCCCGTGCGCGGTCCTGAGGCTCGCCAGCGGTCCGCAGAGGACATCCGGTTCCAGGCCGCCCACATCGGCGATGAGGGCGATCCAGAGCCTCAGCTTCTCTACCCCGACGTCGCAGATGCATCGGCGGTTCGGCGCGATCCTCCGACCCCACGTGTTTCGGCCCCACTTTGGCAGACCACCATGCCTGGAAAGAGCCATCCTGGGCCCTGAGGATGGCGTGCAGTCATCAATACACGACAGTAACGTCAGAAGAACTTGACGCATCAAGATGAAACATATCCAGCTTCCTGCAGCAAGTCCTGCCACCTTGCCAGCCAAGCATTCTGGGTGGCGAATGTCCAAGGGGGCACGGGAGGCCGTCACGTTTGACATCACGTGTCTCAAGGTGCGGGAGAGCCGTGATGAGTATGATGAGCATAATGAGGATGATAATGTTGATCATGGTGATGGTGATGGTGATGACGATGGTTATGATGATGATAATGACGATGGTGATGACGATGATGATGATGATGATGATGATGATGATGATGATGATGATGATGGTGATGGTGATGGTGATGGTGATGGTGATGGTGAATGGTGACGATGTTGATGATGGTGATGGTGATGATGATTATGAAACTCGTTTGGGCCATTTTGGGGCTGTCTTGGCCTCCTGTGGGGCAGTCTTGGGGCAGTCTTGATGTGATGATTGTGTTGGTCAGATGATAATGGTGGTGATGATGATGCTGATAAAGACGATGACGGTGATGATGATTATGATGATGATTATGATGATGATGATGATGATGATGATGATAGTGCCAATGAATGATGCTGAGAATGACGATGATTGTGATGATGAATGATGCTGGCGATGATGATTATGATGATGATTATGATGCTGATGATTATAGTGTTGATGATGGTGATGATGGTGATGGTGATGATGCGGGTGATGGTGATAATGCTGGTGATGGTGATGATACTGGCTATGCTGATGATGATGATAATGATGATGATGCTGATGATGATGATGATGATGATGATGATGATGATGATGATGATGATGATGATGGAGGTGGTGGTGATAATCATAATGATGCTGCTGATGCTGCTGCTGCTGATGATGATGATGGTGGTGATGATGATGATGATGATGATGATGATGATGATGATGATGATGATGATGATGATGATGGAACGAGCGTGTTCCACCGCTGCTGGCGGAAAACCGAGGGGTGTCACTGTGGTTCCCAACCCGCCCCCCCCCCCCTCGAAAACCGGGGGGTGGGGTCACTACCAGGTCGAACCCCCCCTCCCTTCCCCCCCCAAGTCCATCATGAAAAGGATTACCGGTTCGAACCCCCCCCTCTCCTCGCCGCTGGCAAACGAATCCCGCTCTTCGGGACAGTGGGACAGTGGTGGGGACACCGGGACAGTGGTGGGGACGGCGGTGGTGGGGACAGTGGTGCGGGGACAGTGGGACAGTGGTGGGGACAGTTGGACAGTGGTGGGGACGGTGGTGGTGAGGACAGTGGTGAGGGGACAGTGGGACAGTGGTGGGGACAGTGGGACAGTGGTGGGGACAGTAGTGGTGGGGACAGTGGTGAGGGCGGTGATGATGACGGTCGCGGGACAATGGGACAGTGGTACAGTTGGGAGAGTGGTGGGGACAGTGGGGACAATGTGACAGGCGGGGACAGTGGGGTCAGCGGGACAGCACAGTGGGACAGCGGTGGGGATAGTGGGGACAGTGGGACAGTGGTGGGGACAGTGGAGACAGTGGGACAGTGGTGGGGGCAGTGGGGACATTGGGGAGAGTCGGACCGTGGTGGGGACAGTGGTGGGGACAGTGGGGACAGTGAGACATTGGTGGGGGCACTGGTGGGGACAGTGGGGACAATGGTCGGAACAGTAGGGACAGTGGGACAGTGGTGGGGGCAGTTGGACAGCTCAGTGGGACAGCGGCCGGGACAGTGGGACAGCGGTGGGGACAGTGGGCACCGTGGGACAGTGGTGGGGACAGCGGGGACAGTGCGGAGAGTGGGACCGTGGTGGGAACTGGTGGGGACAGCGGGGACAGTGCGACAGTGGTGGGGGCACTGGTGGGGACAGTGTGGACAGAGATGGTGGGGACGGTGGTGGTGGGGACAGCGGGTGAGGGCGGTGGTGAGGACGGTGGTGGGGACCGGGAAGTCGCTTGCCGGCGGTGAGTGGGGGGGGAGGGGGGGGGCGAACCGGTAGTGACCGCCCCTGGTTTTCTGGAGGTGGGGGGGAGAGGTTAGTGGGGAAGGGGGTTATTGCCGGGGGAGGGGGGGGGGATGGACCCCCTGGTTCCGGAGGAAGAGGGGGGGAAATTTTCACAGTAAAGCGGCGGTGGATCACGCTCTCTCTGATAATGACGATGACGATGACGATGACGACGACAACAACGACGATGATGATGATGATGGTGGTGATGGTGGTGGTGATGGTGATGGTGATGGTGATGGTGATGGTGATGGTGATGGTGATGGTGATGGTGATGGTGATGGTGATGGTGGTGTTTGTGGACGATGATGATGACGATGACGATGATGCTGTTGATGATGATGATGCTGATGTGGGCGCTGTGCTGCTGATGATGATCACGCTGATGATGTTGGATATTGATGATGACGAGGAGGAGGAGGATTATGATGTTGATGATGTTGATGATGATGATGATGGTGTGAGTGTTGGTGGTGATGTTGATAACGACGATGATGATGGTGAGGATAATGAGGATGACGATGATCATGAGGATGATGTTGAGGCTGATGCTGATGCTGTTGATGATATTGACGTCGACGACGATGATGATGATGATGATGATGATTATGATGATGATGGTGGTAGTGATGATTAGAATGATGATGATGATGATGATGATGATGATGATGATGACGACGGGAACGACGAGGACGACTATTTCGATGACGATGACGATGCTTCTGATTATGATATTGTTGATGAGGACGATGCTGACGATGCAGATGAGAACGAGGATGGTAATGATGATGCTGACGATGCTGACGATGATGATGATGACGATGCTGATGATGATGATGATGATGATGATGATGATGATGATGATGATGTCGATAGTGATGATGGTGCTGATGAAGAAGAAGGTGTTGATTATGGCGATGATGATGCTGTTGATGGAAGCGGTGGTAATGCTGCTGCTGGTAGTGGTGACGATGAGGATACTGATGGTGATGACGATAATGAGGATGATTGTGATGGTGATGATGATGGTGATGACGACGCTGATGATGATAGTGATGGTGATGGGGGTTGGTGGTGCTAATGCTGCTGATGATGATAACGATGTCGACGACGATAACGATGATGGTCATGCTGATGATGGTTATGTTGATGATGATGATGATGATCATGATCATGATCATGGTCCTGATGGCGAGAACGACGCCGTCGATGACGACGACCACGGGGATGATGATGATGCTGATGATGTTGATGTTGATGATTATGAAGGTTATGATGATGGAGATGATGATGTTGACGGTGATGCTGATGATGATGATGAATATTATGAAGATGATGGTGATGATGCTGATGCTGATGACGATGATGCTGATGGTGACGTTGAGGAGGAGGAAGATTATGATGTTGATGATGATGATGATGCTGATACTGCTGATGATGCTGTTGCTGATTCTGATGATGACGAGGAGGATGATGCTGATGATGACGCTGATATTGATGATGATGATGATGATGATGATGATGATGCTGATGATGATGATGATGATGATGATGATGATGGTGATGGTGATGGTGATGGTGATGGTGATGGTGATGGTGATGATGATTATGAAACTCGTTTGGGCCGTTTTGGGGTTGTCTTGGCCCCCTGTGGGGCAGTCTTGGGGGTCCAGTCGGGCCCTCTTGGGCCGTCTTGGGGCCCTCTGACGCTGGCTTGGGGCTCCCTTTGGTCGTCGTGGGGCCCTCTTGTCCGTATGGTGGGTGTCTGGGGGCCGTCTTGCGCGAACTTGGGCCGTCGAAGGGCCTAAGGCCGTCTTGGGTCCCACGGGAGGCTATATTGGGCCGTCTTCGGACCGTCTTGGAGAACTCTGGGGCCATCGTGGAGTCCTCTTCGGCTTTCTTGAGCTAACGGCAGCCAGAAAAGGCGAGAATGCGAAAATCAGTCAAAAGCCAATGTAAAGCAACGGTTTGATTTCTTCTGATTCTGTTGGAGGCATCTTGAGTTTGAATCAATATTCGGCCGCCTTGGGGCCATCTTGGGGCGTCTTCGAGGGATCTTGGGCTATTCCCCGCGCTAAACATCAGTCGATGTGAACATAAGCACTTGGACGTCCTCAGGGAAGCCTACAGTCCGACTGTAATCACATCACAGGGTGGTTAAAAAACGCCCCAGAGGTTGCCCCAGCGCCGAGACATGACGCTGGTGTGCAGGTGCCCTCTGCGAACATGCGAGTGGTGAGACAAGAGGGCGAACGCAGCGGGTGCGAGGGGGGATGCGGGCGCCGCGCCGCTGAGCTCGTGGCCTTGGCTGCAGCCGGCGGAACAATTCATGGGGGATCCGCCTTCTCGGGGGCTTTCGAGCAGCATGGGGCAGAGATTCCTGCCGGAAGGCCTCCACCACGGGGGAAGAGGGAGGAGGAGGAGGAGGAAGGAGGGGGAGGAGGAAAACGAGGAGGAGGAGGAGGAGGAGGAGGGGGAGGAGGAGAATGAGCAGGAGAATGAGCATGATGAGGAGGAGGATCGAGGATCACATCTGCATATTTGCCCCATGTCGATCGTGTGTCGCGTTGCGATCCTTCTTCGTTTGTTCGCGAACGCCTCCATGGACGCAACGACCATCCCGCCAGTGCCTGTGCAACGCAACAAGGGTCGAGGATCGAGGACCTATGTCCTCGGACGTTTCTGGTCACTTTGAGCCCCCAGAGCCCTCGAGGAACCTCCTGGAAGCTGGAGGGAGGGGTGGCCGGGACCCCTCTGCGGCCTCCGCCGTGGCGAGCCTTCCCCGCCCCACAATGGGGGGACTTTTGTGCCGGTCGCTGCTCTGGGCCCCCCTCCGAGGTTTCCGCCAGGGTCGGGTCATCGCGAAAGCTTGAGTACATGTTTTCTATCTTGGCCTCCCAAATGGGGTCGGAGTGCGTAGATGGGGTCGGAGGGTCGCGCCGCATCGTCGATGCATCGGGGATGCGGCTCGATGTGGAGCCCGATCTCTCCACGCCGACGTCGCCGATGCATCGCCGACGTCGCCGATGTATCGCCGATGCATCGGTGATGCATCGGAGATGTAGTGTGATCCACCTCATCTACTTGGACCCCATCTACACGGACTCGATGCATCGGTGATGCCGACCCCATCTGCTCGGACCCCATTTTGAAGGCCTCTATCTTCGCTCATCTACAGTATGCTCGTGTCGTGTCGACGCCGTGGCGACCCAGCGCGGGCGTTTCGGGCTGAACACCGTCAGTGGCCCAGAGTCTGCCAATATTGAGCGATCTGGCGATCGAAAAGGAGGCTCCGATCGTTCAAGGTTGAACGACCCACGCGGTGTCAGAAACAAACGCTGGGTTCGTCACGACACGAACTTGTCGTACAAGTTTGCAGCACATCCCCATCCCCATGATTCCATGATTGACATCACCTTGTCTCGGTGTGCCGATCTTGAGAATCCCTTCAGCGTCTGAGGGCGCCATTCCTGAGATTGCCGTCTCCCTGAGCTTGTCAATCTTAAGGATAGGGATGGTCGAAATATGAAACAATTGTACTGATACAAATGTTCTGAGGTCCGCGCGGATTTCGTCGACCAGCGCTGGACACCCTTGCCTGGAGAAATTCGCGCGGAATTCTGGCAGTTTGTGTTTGTGTTGTGTTTCTTTCTCCAAAGTCAAGACGCAGAAATAAGGAACGCTTTGGGTTCGGATGGAACTCGCTGTTACCCAGGTCCTTTCGTGGTTGTTCGTCTTGCGCTCCACGTACACCCAGGCGCTCCCGGGGCCAAAGTAAGGGCTTCGTGAGGCTAGCCATTCATCCAGAACGTTTCGCCCCAAATTCGCGGGGGTCGTGCCCGACCCGCGGCGTGCTGGGCTGTCGAGCTGGGAAGCTCCGACACGCCGCCGCGGCCCCCGCCGCCCGCCACCGCTCCTCGTCGCCTGCCACCGCTCTTCTCCTTCTCCTCCACATCATCCCGTCCTCCTCCTCCTCCTCCTCCTCCTCCTCCCTCCTCCTCCTCCTCCTCCTCCTCCTCCTCCTCTCCTCCTCCTCCTCCTCCTTCTCCTCCCTCCTTCACCAGACTCCAGGCTCCACCTCCTCCTCCTCCTCCTCCTCCTCCTCCTCCTCTTCCGCTCTTCATCTTCCGCCTCCTTTTCCTCGTCCACCAGACTACTCGTTCTTCTCCTCTCCTCCTTCTCCTTCTCCTTGTGCTCCCCATCCTCTCTCCGTCTCCTCTCAGGCTCAACGAAATTGTTCCATCGTTTTGGAGGCCCTGGGCGGTTTCCATCAGCTGCGCCTCGTCGAGAGCGTTCCGGGGGTGTCAGAATCGTCCCGAACGGCCGCCATAGGCCCGAGCTAATGGCCCGAAGCGAAAGGTCCGGGGAAACATTTGTGGAGGGGACAGAATTGTGGGGGAATGCTTCGATCCTTTTTTCGCCCCTTCATCGCCGACAAGAACCTGATAGCTTACCCCGCCCCAGAGCGTGCAGTTTCGCTGTCGGGGGTTTCTCGCCGATCTATCGGCAGTGCAATCACCGAGTCCAAGCCGATGTTTCCTCCCTGAGCCAGTTCCCTCCCCTTTCGTTCCCTCTTGTCTCTTCCATTACTATTGTACCCCCTCTTGTCTTCCTCTTCGCTCCTCGCCCTCCTCCTTGCACCTCCATCGCCCCTCCTCCTCCTCGTGCTCCTCCTCCTCCTCCTCCTCCTCCTCCCTCCCTCCCTCCCTCCCTCCCTCCCTCCCTCCCTCCTCCTCCTCCTCCTCCTCCTTCTCCTCCTCCTCCTCCTCCTCCTCCTCCTCCTCGCTCCTCTTTCCTCTTCCGTTCCCCCATGCTCTGCAGTAGTTGTGCATGTCGCTGCCCCGTAGCATCACGCCGCTAGGTTGCGCGCTTGATGGAATTTGGGCACCGCGGGCTCAATGCTCCACGCCGCGTGCCGTCGGCGCTCAGCGGCCCCACCGAAAGGCGCGGCAGGGCCGGCTCGCCTCAGGATGGGGAGCAGGGGGAAGGAGAGGGGGAGGAGGAGAGAGAGAGGAGGATGAGGAGAAAGAGGAGGAGGAACAGCAGGAAGTGGAGGAGGAGGAGGAAGAGGAGCAGGAGCAGAAGCAGGAGCAGGAGCAGCAGGAGCAGCAGGAGGAGCGGGAGCAGGAGCAGTAGCAAACAAGGGGAGGAGAGGGGATGAGGGACAGGAGGTAAGGGTGACAGAGTCAGGGCAAGGAGGGAGAGGAGAGGGGGGTAGTGGAGGAGGAGGAGGAGGAGGAGTAGCGAGCGAGGAGGAGGAGGAGGAGAGGAGGAGAAGGAGGAGGAGGAGTGGGCTTAGGCTTAGGAGAACAACATATGGAGGATGAGGGAGGAGGAGGAGGAGGAGGAGGAGGAGGAGGAGGAGGAGGAGGAGGAGGAGCAGGATGAGGGGGAGGTGGGCTGGGGGCAGGGGCAGGGGGCTGGGGAGGAGGATACGTAGTAGGAGGAGGAGAAGGAGGAAGAGGAGCAGCAGGAGGAGGAAAGAGAGCAGGAGGAGGAGGAGGAGGAGGAGGAGAATGAGGAGAATGAGGAGGAGGAGGAGCAGGAGCAGGAGCAGGAGTAGGAAGAAGAGGGCTCCCGTCATGGACTCGGAGCATTTCGGGCCGAGGATGCCTGGTGTTCACTTGACGTCGGTTGAGTGGGATCTGCGGCTCGATTTCTGTGGGCCTGGCGCCCCTGGGGAGTTCAACCAATATACTTGCCGGAAGGGTGATTTGCTTTGCCGCCTCCATTGCAATTATACACCGCGCTGGCCAGTCCCGGAAGAATGCTGGAACGTTGCTCCTTGTTTGGCACAGGACGGGTTGCTCGATGAGGTTCACTGAGCACAGCGTACAGCCATTTCTTTCTCAATGCCCACACGAGCGTGTTGTTTCGCATTGCGTCGCGGTGTCAGTTTCCAGGTTGTCTCCACAGCGCTCCAGTTATCCAGCGGCAGTCGGCCCTCCATGACAAGGCATGTCTGATTGGCTCCGACATGGTCAGCCCGTCCATGTCCGATGATGCATCCCTAGCAGATCATGCATGGCGCGCCGAGAGGGAAGGCAGAGAGGGCGGGCCCTCCCAGAAGTCTCGGAATGCCCCCAGCCTTGTAAGAAGAAGCTTCCCAAGCCGTTTTCGAAGTCCCGCAGCCTTCTGAGAAGGCCTGCCCCCTCTCACTCCCCCTCGCCCTCGGCGCGCCGCCGAGGTGTGTCCCTTGTAGACCAGGCAACACACGGTCGGATGAGGTCGCGCACTTGCGCCGATCCCCCCAATCATAAGCGCCGCTTGTTCCTCTTTGAAAATGTTTTCCAAGTTTGAGTTTCGATCTTCCTCTCCTGCTCTCCTGTTCCTCTTCCCCCCCCCTCGCCAGTCAGTGCGTGTGTGTCTGGATGGTGTCCCCCATCCGTCCATTTGGCATCCCAAATGGCCAATTGTCATTGGTATCGTCTTTGGGTTGAGGTTTCAAAACGGAGAGGCCGCAGATCAAAAATCATCCCTCGTCCCCCCCCGCCTTCTCATCCTCACTTGGGGGCGCGATCACTGTGCGCGGCTCTTCCAGCAGCCGTTTCTTCGGCATCAGATGCTCGCCCTGGTGTCCCTCGCGCCCGCAATCGACCGCGCGCACGGGGCGTTTTTCTTTCCGTCCCCTGGCGCTTCCTCCTCCTATTCTTCCTCCTCCTATTCTTCCTCCTCCTCCTCCTCCTCCTCCTCCTCCTCCTCTTTCTCCTTCTTCCTTTTCTCCTCCTCCTCCTCCTCTTTCTTCCTCCTTCCTCTTCCTTCTCCTCCTCCAGCTTCCTGGGCGCGCCTGCGCCATCCTCCCCGTCCTCCCTCCTCCCATCCCCGCCCTTCCGCCATGGTCGTCGCTGCGAGGCTTCGGTTTCGCGAGCAGGTGCTCACCGGGGTCCAGGCGCACATCTCTGTCTCGTCAGCTGCCGTCCCGCATAGGTCTGAGGTTTTTTGATCGTTCTCAAACTTTCGACACGGGCGCTTCTCTGTCACAGGATCGGGGTGTTCGATAGCATGGTGGGCATGTTGGTTGCGGTGGTCGTGGACATTGGTGCTCGGATGGGAAGTTTTCGATATTTGCATCTGGTGATCCTCACTTCCTTGACTACCTGATGGTTCAGGCGGTGGCTCGCAGCCTCCTGATTGTATGGGCCCCGACGATGATGATGCTGATGGTGGAGGCGGGGGCGGCGGAGGCGGACTTTGGTGGCGTCGGCGTGACCATTGGGGTGCCACACGCGATCCATGGCTTGAGCCGGAACGCGATCCGTGAGCAGCAGCTGCTTGACAGGGCGGTGGTGGCCTACCGCACAAAGTTCTTTGGCGTCGTGGCGATGAATTCCCAGCTGTGCCGAAGTTCCCGTTCAACGCGGACGCGAAGGTTTTCGTCCCGATCCTAGGTGTTCTTCTTGCTGGGGCCGATAGCGGTGGTGGTGTTCAGCATTGTTCTTTTGGTTGTATTGCTGGGCATTGCTCTGGAACTTATCGAGGCGATGGCGGCCTCGGTCTTACTTTGGAAGCTGATGTCCGTGCGGACGCGGTCGTGACGCCGAGCGATATTCAGAGTGATTCTGGCAGGCTTGATGATGTATGAGCACGGCGACGAGCATGCAACTACCAAGGATGTGGCTATTATGGTAGATATTCGTGCCGACTCGGCTCCTCGCCCTGTTCCTGATACTCCTTGTTGGCAGCCTGATGAGGTACCCATTGTGGGGAGTAGCCAGGTCGCTGAGATGCAGAACGCCACTGGGCAGACTATAGCGCATTTGACAGCTCTTTTGGGGAGCTCGCGTTTTGGGGTTGGTGCTGGTCCTCGCCATCGGCCTCGCTTGCCCACGGCCGCGCTTACTTTGGCTTTCTTAAATATCCGTGGACGGGGGTCAACCTCGCCTCGTCGTCGCGCGGCGACGGGGGGTCGGAGCGCCTTTGGCGCGCGGCGGCCGCCCGCGACGGGGGCCGTCGGCGGGGGCGGCGCCCCCCCGACGCTTATCGAGAAGTTCGGAGTGAGGTCTACGCCGCCGTCAAGATCGCGGCAATCAAGCGCGACGCTGATCTCTCTGACCACCGCCATCTGCGAGGAGCTCACTATCTGGTCAAGCACAAGCGTTTCGAGCGACGCCCTCTCGAAATACGTTCAGAACGCCATGGGCTCCAGGCGCGCGTTCAAATCGAAGCGCCACAAGTGATCGGGCGGCAAGGCCGCCGGGATCCGGGCGCCGCACGGCGCCGCGGGGCTTCCGCGACGCGGGCGCCAGAGCCCCGGCGACGCTCGCCGGCGCGGCGAAGCGGGCGCTTCAACGCATTATGTCTTCAGTGGCGGCTCGCCGCCCAGACTGGGCGCACGCTGCCGCGGGCGTCGGGAATGCGCCCCCGCGGGGCGCGACCCGCGCCGAGATGCAGGAGCAGGGCGAAGCACCGAGAAAGGCGAACTTCACCCTGAGGCCCAGCAGCGCGGCCATCCTCATGCTGGCAGGCCCCAGGCCGCGCGCCCGTCGACGCGCGCACTGGGCGCCTGCGCTGCACTGCACCAAGCGCGGCACGGACTGCAAGGATGCGCCCAGAGCTTTCTCCGCGAAGCTCGCCGGGGCCACGCGCTCGCCCGAGGGCAGCGCCAAACCGACGCGCTGGGGCCCGGAGCTCGAGGTCAAGCGCTAGGCGCCCGGGACCTGCGGCGCCGGCGGCTCAGAGCAAGTGTTCGCGCGATCCAAGCACGCCGACGACTTGAAGACCGCCGGGCGCAAGGGCGCGCAGATTGGCTGATCGGCCGCGTCGAGAGCGGCCTCGGAGAAATTAAGGTGATTGCGGCGGCTTCGCCGATCGAGGCGCGCGCCAACGCCGCGGCGCCGACGGCGTGGTGACGTTCGACCAGGACGAGCGCATCGACGCGCTGACCCCCGTTGGGCGCGTCGACCTGGCCATGGCGAAGGCCGACGAGCCGGCGGGAGGTCCGCTTCCGGACTTCATCGTCTCCTTCTTTGGAGCATCCGTCTACGCGTTGCTCGCGCAACGCCGCGCTGCCGTCTACATCGTCGCGCTGCAATGGGCCGGGAAGGGGCTGCTCGCCAGGCGCATCACGCAGCTCAGCTCTGTTGTTCTGGCCACGCAGAACGTCAGAACGCCCGTCGCCTTCCCAGCCACGGGGCGCGCGGGCCAGATCTTCGCGCGAGCGCGAGGAGGAGACATGATGTGGCATGCGTGGCGCCGCATACATGCGCATGGGCGAGTGTCGCAGCACTGGCAAACAGATCTGCCACTTGCTCTACGCTGCTAGCCGATCGCGCGAGCACGCGTGTAGACGCCTGTTCGGCTCCGAGCTGCTCGCAGCAAGTGGAGCAGCAGACGGCACGCGGGCGCGCCTCCTGACGCTCCGCGAGATATGGTGCGCGGGCCCGCCCCAGCTGATGAAATCGGGAGGCTGAGGGAGGAGGGGGGATGCGCTGCGCTGGCCGAGCTGACCGTGGACGGCACGTTTGTTCGCCCCACCCTAGCCGTGAACCGCGCGCGGCCGCCGTCGAATCATAGCTCGGCGGGGCTGCCCGCGCCGGCTAGTTGGCCAGCTGCGCACCAGACAGTTATCCGACATGCTGCGGCGCGACACCCGCGACGCGAGGGCCGACCCTATGACCGAGGGAAGTATCGGCCAGGAGCCCACCCGCAGCCGCAGCGTCATAGGGGGGGGAGCTCGCCCGCGCGCACCCCTCGGCGAGGATGGGCGAGGAGCGGCGCGACAAGACGGCGCCGAGCTCCCAACAAAGCGACCTCCACAGGGACACTGGCGACGCTGGTGGATAACCCATTCGGCGTCGCATACCGCGAGCTGCATTCGCGAATGCGACGCAGTGCATCAAGGAGAGGAGCGCCCGGGCATTCGCATGTCGCCGCGACGTTCTCGAATGCGACGTAGCGAGTCACGCGAGTGAGGGGCCGTTGCCGTGATCTACGTTCGCGGAACGGCAGGCCGTCGGGCGATGGGCACGGAGTGATTTATAATGCGTTTCGCCAATAGTTCGCTGCCAGCCTTTTTGTCAAATTGCGACAGCAACGGCAGAAGGTCCCCCGCGCAGCGCAACTGTTCATGAGGGGGGCCATCAAAACGCCCGCCCTGTCCCGCCCCCGCCCTGTCCCGCTCGGCACTGTGTTTGTTTAGTGTGGCTAGTCTGTCGGGTCGCGGTGGTGGTCTGGACGGTTCGCGCCGGGCTGCCGACAGGGCGCGACGGACCCGCACGGGCACCATACTCGAATGGTAGGTTACTTATGCTTGTCGGGCGTGGGGGAGGCACTTTCTGCTGCCATTGTCTACTCCTCCTCCTCCTCCTCATCGTCCTCCTCCTGCTCCTCCTCCTGCTCCTCCTCCTCCTCCTCCTCCTCCTCTTCCTCCTCCCCCTCCTCCTCCTCCTCCTCGTCCTCCTCCTCCTCCTCCTCCTCCTCCTCCTCCTTCTGCGTTGGCCAGACCTTATGCGTGCACATGTGGCGTTCTTCTTCCTCCTCAACCTCCTCGTCTCCCTCCTCCTCCCTTTCCTCCTTCTCCTCCTCCTCCTCCTCCTCCTCCTCCTCCTCCTCCTCCTCCTCCTCCTCCTCCCCCTCCTCCTCCTCCTCCTTTTTCCTCCCGGGTGCCAGTTCGGCCCGCGCTGGCTCAAATCAGCACCCGAGCCCGCCCCATGGGCGTTCCCCGTGCCGCCCTCACCCCTGCGCCCAGGCAGGGCGGGCGCGGGCGGCGCAGGCCCCACTCAAAGGGCGTTTGGCCCACTGCGGGCGTTGTCTGAGTCAGCAGGCGGCGTCCCGCCGCCAGAAACCGAGGAGACAAAGCATCGCCCACCCGACGGTGGCGCGCCGAGCGCTGCCGCTCAGCCTCACGCGGGGCCGCGCTGCCGATGTCGCCACGGAAACTCCGCGTGCAGAGGCGGACGGCGTGTTGCACGTCGACACCTTGAGCGACGCGGCAACGGCGGCAGCTGCGGCGGTTTCGTGCACGGGTGGTGCTAGAATGGGCAGGCATTTCGATATTGAGTACGAGCAGGCATGTTCGAATGTGGTTAATGCGGGCGCCGACGACGACGCCAACGACGACGACGACGACGTGGCCTTCGCTGCTGCTTTCAAAAAGGCGGAGGAGGACCGCGCGGCGGCGGCCTTGGCCGCCCCTGCTAACCGCCCCGTCGATCACCCCCCCGAGGACGCGGGCGATTCCACAGTCAAGGTCGTCGAGCTCTATGGCGCGGAATTGGAACGCCTCGAAGACGAGCTGCGGGCAGCTGGGCGAAGCTGCTGCTCACCAGGCCGCGCGCACGGGGTTTCGAAAGCCTTTCGGGTTGCCCGCGGCGTTCACAGTGGGTGCCAGCGCAGTTCCGGGAATGGGGGTGCCTCAGCTGATTTATGCCTCGGCGACCCTTTTGGGGATTGCTCAAGGCGCCCCTGGCCCAAGGTGCCCCCAGCTGTTCGCATCCTTTTGGGGCCCCTGGGGCCCTGTGGGCTGCCTGATGGATGCTCTGAAGGCCGTGGGGGCCCCCTTTGAAATTCTTGGGGGCATTGCGGACCAGGGGCACTTTCTGGCAACACCCCGACCCTCGGGCAGCGGCAGGTGCGCAGCGCTGGCGGCGTCTTGGCGCCGCACCGCGCTCGGGACGGCCGCGGCGCGGTCGGGAACCGTTGTGGTACCCACGGGCGCCCCCTGGGGTCGTCGGCCCGGCGGTCGAGGACGCAGCCTGTGCCCGGCGAGCGTTGACGTTCTCGCCCATCTTCGGCCCCACGGGAGCTCGTGCAGCTCATCGTGGTTCCCTCCATCGACGTGGCCGCTGCCTTCGTGCCGCCCTTCGGCACTGCTGGTTCCGCCGTGTTCGTGCTGCCCGTCGGTACACTCTTCATGTCCCGGCGGGCCCGTCGAGGCGCCCACGCTCGGCCCGCGCGGTCGGGGATTTTCAGGCCCCCGCGCCGTGCGCTCGGCACTCAGGTGCCCGCCCCACTCTCATCATGTCCGTTGTTTTCTTACTATTGGTATTACCATTGTTGGTATCACGTGCTGTTAATATTATTGTTCGTAATAGTAGGATTATCAGTATTACCCGCATTCGTATTAACAATTCTGTTGCATAGGACTCGTGTTATTGTCATCATTATTATTTTATGATTGATATCAGTAGTATTGTTGTTGGTGTCGCGATTATGATTCGCAATGTGACTGGTAGTATCAATCTTGCTAGTTTCATTGTCATTAGTTGGATTCGTAATGTTATGATTCGTTTAATTATTCCCTTAGTATTACTAGTCGTATTATCGTTATTAGTATTAGTATTCATATGATTATTCTTCTTCGTACCATTATATATATATATATATATATATATATATATTCTTATTACTACCATTCGTTTACGTGTTCAAATTATTCTTGGCGCTTCGCGTATCCCCACCAGCCCCTGGGCTGCCCGGGCCCCCCGCTGACAGCGGTAATTTTACCTCACCTTCAGCGGCGGTTAGCTGCGACCCTGGACGCCCGCGTGGAACGACGGATTCGACAGAGACCCTGGTTCCCTGCGGGGAATGACGGATTCGGCGGTTAAGGCAGTCCTACGGTGGCCTTCGGCGTACACCAGGCGGCAGCTGCCGTGCAGTTCCACCCTGGACGCCCCACCTTGCTGGCGATGTTCTCTCCCACCAGCTTGGCAGCCTCGGCCGCCCTCCGGGCCCGTCCCAACCCCGGCTTGGTTTTCGACGTTCCTCGGCGGAGCAGCACAGCTGGCTCGCACACGCCGTTGGCGCGGCTTGGGCTTGGCGCCCCATTGGCGACGGCCCATCGCTTACCACGTCTGGACACTCACAGAATTCCCTGGCATTTTGCCTCAGGGCTGCACGTTGCTCGAGCTTCCCTGGGCGTTCCAGTTCAGCCAGCCAGCCCCCCGTCGCCGCTGCCCCAGCTGCCGCGTTTGTGAGCTGGCCCGGCCGGCTCGCGCTGCGCCCAGTAGTTAATTAGGTTTGCCCGTCGGCCCGGACACCCTGTTCGCCGCCTGCGCTCTTCGCTGGTGGCCGCGACAAAAAAAATCCCCACCAGCCCATCCAGAAACGATTACCAGGTGAGTTGGTTAGTCAGGGGCGCCTGGAAGCACGCGTTCGCACAGCTGTTTGGGACAAAACAGGGTGGGCCGTACCCTGGGCCAGAAAACAAGGACCTTCGCGCAGCGAAGTTTAAGACAGAAATCAGTGCAAGATGCGCCATGGTGCTCCCTTTGGTAAGCGTCTCTGGTGCAGGTTCCCGTATCTACGATCCGACGCCAGCGGCGCGCAGAATGAGTCGCATCTCGATGGACATCCTTGATCTTAACCCTTGCACCGATATGTATCTTAAGTTCGCGTGCGTTTCGAATTTGTTCAGGTGCTGGTGCTGCAGCCGGTGCTGCTGATGATGTTGTTGTTGGCGCTGCTGTTGTTGATGTTGGTGCTGATGTTGCTGTTATTGGTGCTTGTGCTGCTGTTGGTGTTGCTGCTTGTGGTGTTCCTGCTGGTTGTGGTGCTGCTGCTGGGGCCATCTTTGGGGTAGGAGGAGAAAAAGGAGGAAGAGGATGAAAAAAGGAGAAGGAGGACGGGGAAGAGGAGGAAGAGCAGGAAAGCGGCACGGGGAGGATGACAAGGAGGAGGGAGGAGGCAGGAAGGGAGGAAGGAAGGCGCGGATGTCCCACGGCGGCTTGATTGGCAACACCGGTGAGTTGGGAGAGCTCTTGCAGCGAAGGGTGTCGGGCTGTAGCTGCTGGTACCGTTGGCATTGTCGTTGTAGTTTGTGCTTATGGTACCGCTGCTGCTGGTGTTGATGCTGGTGCTACTGATAGTGCTGCTGGTGCTGGCGATGCCTGGTGTTGTTGCGTATGGCGTCAAGCGCGGGTCAGAAGGACAGCGGGGCACCCCTTGCGCACCCGTGCTGGCCAGCCTCCACGGCGGGCCGTCCCAGGAAAAGGCAAAGCAGGCGAGGACCAGCCTCCTCAGGCGGGTCCTCCACATTCCGCCGACCCCCGAAGCGGAGGTACCGGAAATCCGCTGACCCCCAGGGGGGTAGATCCGCAGACCCCCAAGGGGGTGAAAACCAGCCCTCGCAGGCCGAATGCATAGAGCAACGACTGGGCACGAATTAACCGGGTCGTCTGCCCTCTCAGGCCGCTCACGGCTGGGCACGCTCCGGCAGGGGTTAGTCGGCCAGCCCCTTCTCAGAAGCCGGTCGCGAAGCAGCTGCGCCGAAATACCCGGCGAGCGTCTGCAGCTTGGGCGCAATCTCTCTCAGCACCTTCGCCTCGAATGCATTGCCTTTCGCCTCCAGCTGCGAAAACACATCCTGGAGGTCCTTCACGTGCGCCTCCAATGGCGCGATCTGCCCCTTGATCTCGTCAATGGCCCTGGCCAGCTGCATGGCATCCTCCGGGGGCGCCGGAACCGGCCTGGCCTTCAAGTCCTGCACGTGCCGGGCGAGGTCGGCGAGCTGCGACTGCATCTCATTATGGGCCGGAGCGGGCGTCGTAGCGCCCACGGTCTGGGTCAGCCCGTCGAGCTGCGTCTGCATCGCGTCCATCAGGTCCATCAGCGCCTCCAGGGACGGCGGCGCCGGCACGTCCAGCAGGGACTGCACTCGCTGGGTCAGCACGTCGAGCTGCGTCTGCATCGCGTCGACGTCCGGGGCCAGCGCCTTGGTCTCCACCAGGGGCGCCGGCGCTGGAGTGACCGGCAGCATGCGGCACAGCGCCGCCGACACCGCCTCGCTGCTGTAGAGGTTCAGGCAGGTGCCGCACGGCGCCCTCAAGACCGCCTCCGGGTACCTCACGGCCGCGTGAACCGGCGGCACCGCGGCATCGGCGTGCGGCTGCGAGCGCCCGCCGGCGGGGCTCCCCGCGGAGCCCGGGGCGGCGGGGTCCGGCTGCAGCGACTCCGGGGCGAGCGCCGGGAAGCCGGGGACCGGCTCGAGCGCCGCGGTGCGGGCGTGGTACTCGATCCCCCACTCGCCTTTGAACGCCGGGTCGAACTTGTACGTCTCGGTGGTGCGGTCGCTGATGGCGGGGGAGCCGCTGGCGATGTCGTAGCGCTCCGGGCTCCTGGTAGCTGGCGTGCTTTCGCCTCCGCCAAGGCATCCACTCTCTCCACCAGCCGCACCCTCTGCGGACGAGCCAGCGGGGCTGCAGGGCGCTCCGCGCTGGCTGGGAGGGCTTGTGGACGCTCCTCCCGCGTGGCCTCCTTCCGGCTTGGAGGGCCAGGTCGTGGCAGCGGGCGCTTGAGCTGCTCCGCCGCCTCCGCGCTCCCCGGCATGGTCTGCACTGGGAGCGCCTGGGTCTGCCCCGGCTCCGTCAGGCCGGCTCTCTGCCACAGCGGCTGCAACGCCGTCAGAGACATTGCGATGGCGGCCGCATGCCGCGCCATCGCCGAGGCTGCTCGGGCCTCTCGGCCCGCTTCCTCCACTGCTGCCGTCAACGATGGGGGCTCCAACACCCCCAACGGGCGCTCCGGGCTCCTCGGCCTCCGCGCCTCTGACCCCGGGCGCCGGGCTGACCTCAGCCTCGGCGCCGTCCACCCCGGACTCCTGCTGCGATCCGGCGGCGGCGTCGGCTCGCGCCTGGCGGCGGCGCGCCCGCCGGCCCTCACCGGCGGCTGCTGGCGGCGCCACGGCGCGCGCTCCAGCGCCGCGGCCAGCATGAGCCGCGACTCCATCCGGCATGCAGCGCCGCGCGGGGGCGCGCGCGGCTCGTCTCAGGACCCCCAGGCCGGGCAGTGCGGCTTGGGCCCCGAAACTGCTGGCGATGCCTGGGAAGGGAGGAGGAAGAGGAGGAGGAAGAGGAGGAGGAGGAGGAGGAGGAGGAGGACAAACAGAAAAGGAGGAGGGGACGATGACAAGGAGGACGAGAAGTCGGGCTTAGGGGATATATTGTGGTGAGGGTTTCTTCGAAACGTCGTAATGCCATTTTGGCGCCATCTTGGAGCCCTCTTGGGGTCCTCTTGGGGCCTTCGTGGGGCCCTCTTGGGGCTCATTTGGGGAGTCTTGAAGCCCTCTTAGGGCTCTTTGCGGAGGCTTGGGAGGCCTCTTGGGGCCGTCTTGGGCCCCATGGCTAAAAAAGAGGGGGTCGTCCAATTCCCGTCGCCCCCTCAGAGGCTCACAAATGCTGTCTTGGAGCCGTGTTGGGCCGTTCTTGGAGCGTTCTTGGCCGCTCTAAGGGCCCTCTTGGGGCTCTCTTGGGGCAACTTGGGGCCATGTTGAGGATGCCAAAGCCCATCGGAAGCGAAAAGGCGAGAATTCCTGAAACATTGATTTTCCCTAGGCTTTTGAAGGATTTTGGCATCTTGGAGGGTGCCGTTGAAGGCTCGAAAGGCACTTGGATCCGTCTTGGGGCAGCCTTGAGGCCTCTTGGATGTGTGTCGGAGGCTATCTTGAGCCAACTTGAGCTATCTTGGGCCATCTTGGAGGCCATCTTGCGCTCTCTGAGGCCCTCTTGGAGCCATCTTGGGCCAACAACGGACCCTCAAACCCCTCGGGCCCGCGCCGTCCAGACCCAAGGAGGGGGGGGGAGATATATCAGGGAGGTTGGAAACGGAAACGCTCTAGACCACCTCCGCCCATAGGGCTGGTGGGATTCCTACTCCTCCTCGTCCTCCTCCTCTTCCTTCTCCTCCTCCTCCTGCTCCTGTTCGTCTGGAGGCAGACTTTGCGAGCCGAAGGAGCTGTGGCCAGCAACCAGGCCAGCTGTACGATTCTGTGGGACCTCTACAAATGTTTTGAGTTGGTGTACTTGGGCACGCTCCTTCAGCGTTGCCACCAGTTTAAGTTCCCCGTCCAGTTAGCTCGGCTTTCTGTGCAAGGATATCGGCACGGCAGGTTTATTTCTCTCGGCGGCGTGGTCGTCGGCCCGTTCCATGTCACCAACGGCGTCGTCGCCGGCTGTGGTCTAGCGACCACCATGGTGCGCATCAATGCTATTCCTGCTCTCGACGCGTTGCAGCTGCCACCAGGTATCACGCTCGACGTTTACATTGACGATTACGGTCTCAGCTGCAACGGGTCCAATGCCGACATTGTCGGGCACCTCCCTGAGGCCGCGGCCAACCTCAGGGAGGCCATCGAGGCTGGCATGGGGGCGGTCATTTCCCCAGATAAAGCTTCCCGCGTTGCCTCGTCGGACGCGCTCGCCACGCAAGTCAGGTACTGTCTCGGCGGCCTCGCGGGGCCCATCATCCAAGGGACTGTCAACTTGGGTATCGACTTTGCCCCAGGTTCCTCCCGTCGGCTTCCTGGGATATTCAAAAGTTCTCTGACCGCAAACGAGTTTTCAACAAACAAGTTAGAAGGCTCAAGCGAGCCAAGCGGCCCCTAGGGCGGCATGCTGTCAAAGTTTTTACCGCGGGCCCCCTCCCCAGCCTCACGTTTGGGTATGAGGTTCATGGGCTCTCGAATTTCGAATGGGACAGACTGCAGGTCGCCGCCGCCAGTACTATGCAGCCATCTGCCAAGATGAGGTCACGGACCTCTGTCCTGATTTTATCCCAGGACCCGACCTGGTACCCTGCCGTGGCGCCCACCGTGAGGTACTCCAAGGAGATTTGGGCCAACCAAATCAAGTTCTTCCCCTTTGTCATCCCGTGGACTGAGCTGGGGGACGCTTGGAGGGGTGTTTTCTGTTCCCCTGGGCCCAGAACCTGGCGGGGTTCAGGGGCCCCTGGGGGCCATGAAGTTGGCTTATAGGAGAATTTCTTGGAGCATGCCCAACTACTGTACCCTCTTGGACGATTTGGGAACTGAAGTTTCGCTCACTGTGACGCCCCCAGCCCTGCTTAAGAAGCTTTTGAAGGCTGCAGTTCAGAGGACCCACGAGAGGGCCAGCGGCGCTGCTCTGCTCTCGCATCTTCCAGGAGCTCGGGTTTGCCATGATGTTGCGGCAGCTACGTTGCGCTCCAAGAAGGGCACGCCGCACCAGCGAGGTTGTGCCAGGGCTGTTGCTTGTAATGCCACGTGGACCAGAACCAGAGCCGCCGAAGCAGGGCATGCCGTTTGCTCGGCCTGCGAGCATTGTGGGAGCGCGGCCGATACCATGCTTCATCGGCTTTGGTTCTGCCCAGCGTGCCATGGCAAGAGGCAGGCGGTGTTTGACAGTTTCAAGCCAAAGTTTTCCCTCCTGCCTCACCGAGCTTGGGCGTTGCTGGAAGCAAGGCAACGACCTCGCTGATGTTGTTGCCAAGAGTTCGCTAGCCCGCCACCCACAACCCGACCCCGAGGATGTGGAATGGTTTGAGCGATGCCACTTGGTCGCCCAGTGCGTCATGCGTCTTTCGGCTGAGGTGATGCCAGAGTGGCATCGGCTCAACCTGACTGGAGTCCCGCTTGTTCCCAAGCCCCCCAGGCCTAAAACTGAACCGAGGTCCCACCAGTGGACTCGTGTCGCTTCGATTTGGCAGTGCCTTGAATGTCTCAAGGTAGCCAAGGGCGCACCGCGGAAGAACCCTGGCGGTTCTCGGCCTGGAGGTCTAGACCCGCCTGCCCCTGGGAAGTGCCCCAGAGATTCCAGGCTGACTCCCGCGGTTCTTTCATCCCTCAGGCACAACTGCATCGTTCTGCTATGCTCCGATGGTGCCGCCCTCACTATTTGTATGCGATGTTATGCCTATTCCTCCCACGGGCAGCCTCGCAATTTGCTTAGACAGTGTGACGGCCAACCACAGAGTGCGGGCGCCAAGTCCGCCTGGAGTTCTGTGGGGGCTGGCCGCCATCCCAAGCGCAAAGGTATGTCAGTTGAGGTCGGCCCCTGGCACGAAGACCTGGAGCATGAGGAGCTGCCACGGCGCCTCACCGACCAAGAAAGGGAGTTGCGGACAGCTAAGCTGGTGCGGAGGCTAGTCACCGCTGCAGGGGGGGCACCAGTCCCAGCTGACGTGGAGCTGGAGGTGGATCCTCCCTTCGTCTGAGTCGTCGTGTACCATCGTTAAAGCTGTTGGCCCCTCTTCTTTCCCTCTTGGACCGCTTGATGCGGAAGAGGAAGCCGCCTGTTTTTTGTTTGGCCTGCCTGGGGGGAGTCCCTCCCAGCAGGCTGTGCAGCAGTTGCCCGACCCAGCCTCGTCGGCTGGAGCACTTGGCCGAGCCCGAGTTGCCCTCGCCCTCGAAGAGGACGAGGCCCCGCTCGTTGCCGTCGCTGCACTACAGTCTGATGACTCAGACCAGGAGATGCAGCATGCGTCCCCCGCGTGTGGTGCGTCTCGCCCTGGCCTCATTCTTCTCTGGTCGCGGGCCCAGGGGGGCAGGCGGCGAGCCACAGGGGATCCTCCCTTCCTGCGGGAAATCGCCCCGCGGCTTTCGCGCCTGCCCTCCTTATTTCGTTTCACTGCTCGCTAGCCTGCTTCGGGCCAGATAGCAGGAGGCGACGCCCTCAGGTCGTCGCCTTTGTTCGCCACGGTTGATGTCACAAAAATCCTGCTCCTGTTCGTTCCCTTCAAAATCGACCCCAAGGGGCGCGTGGTCCAACACTGTGATTAAAATAGGTAGACCATATGTCCTCCCCCTCCCCCTTATCACTCCTCTGACGTCGCATGTGTTGCGCGACGTGAGCCCCCTGGGAACAGTTCCCGTCATCCCGATCCCCGGTTTGATGGCCGACTGGGATCAAACGCCGAATGGGTTCAGAAGGGAGCCCTTGACTGGGATCAGACGCCAAAGTGGTTCCGAAGCGGGGTCAGACGCCGAATGAGCAAGATCGAAGGGGCGTAACTACATACGCATAAACTCTCGGAGGTCCGCGCGGACCTCCGAGAGTTCATGTTTATGTCGCTTTTCATACCTTGTAAAATGTGGATTTACCCCTCTCCTTCCTCCCCTTCCTCCCCTCCCAACCCCTTCCCTCCTCCCACTCCTTCCCCATCACCCGTTCCTTCCCTCCCCTGCCCCTGCCTTCGCCCTCCCCCTTCCCCTTCCCTTCCGCCGCCCCACTTCCTCCTCCCACCTCCCCTCCTCCCGTCCTCTTCCCCCTCCTCCCCCCCCTCCCCTTCTCCCGCGCAGCGCGGGGCGGCCCGCGCGGCCGGGAATGGCGGCCGGGGAGGCGCCCAAGCCGGTGCTCGGCTTCCCCCCCCCCCCGAAAGTGGAGCGAGAAGTGCAGCTGGCACGGGCCAGGAGCAACGTTTACGGGGGGATAGCAGGCTCCTTGATCCCCATCCCCACCACCCGACCACCCCAGATGGGGATGTGCCCCGCGAAGCTCGAAGGGAACAACCTAAATCCTCATCTGGGGGGTAAATCGGCCAGTGGGGTCAGGGGCAGCGCTTACGGCGGGTTCGTGTCGTGTCGTCGCCGCGGCGACCCCGCCACAGACGGTCAAGGTTGAACGTCGCCAGTGGTCCAGAATCGGCCAATGTGCAACGATCTGGCGAATAAAAAATTGCAGATCTTTCAAGGTTGAACGATCTACGCGGTGTCAGAAACCAACGCTGGGGTCGTCACGACACGAATCTGCCGTACGGGCGGACAGGCTCAGGGCTCAGTGGCAGCGACATGGTTTTCGAACTACGCCAGTTCCTGGAGGTGTGTCTGCCTCGGGATGTGTTTCTGCAGCTGCGCCGAGCTTTCTGTGGGCGAGCCCAGATCGTCCGAGTTATGACCTGGCTTGAAAATTTCCTCATCCTTCTCCTTCTCCTCTTCCTCCTCCTCTTTCTCCTGCTCTTGCGTCGCATGGACTACGATCGGATGATCGCAGCGTCTAGAACCTCCTGCTCCTCCTCTGACCCAGGACCCCCCGCACCCACTCGGAGCTGCCCCGAGTTCGAGCCCCACGCGCAGATCCGCCACCGCGCCCTCAGCACGTCGCTTGGCGTGTCCTCCAACAGGGGCGGCGTTAGGGGGATTCAGGGGTAGGTGAACCGACCTCGAATCGCCCATTCATGGCCGATGGGGGCCCGATGGCTGAAAATGCAAGCTCGGGGGCCTGTCGCCGATCTGGTGATGTCAGCTCGATGTCCCCCCCCCTCCGAGCTGATGGTGATTACGATGATGGTGATGATGATGATGATGATGATGATGATGATGATGATGATGATGATGATGATGATGATGATGATGATGATGATGATGATGATGATGATGATGATGATGATGATGATGATGATGATGATCATGATCATGATCATGATGATGATGATGATGATGATGATGATGATGATGATGGCGGTGATCATGAAGGTGGTGGTGATGGTGATGTTGATTATGAGTATGATGGTGATCATGATGGTGATGGTGGTGATGGTGATGGTGGTGGTGATGTTGCTGATGATGACAGTGGTGATGATGCCGATGGTGGTGATGATTATGGTGGTGACAATGATGAGGACGATGATGATGAGGACGATGAGGATACGGATTAGGATGAGGATCGTGATCAGGATCAGGATGACGACGACAACGACGACGACGACGACGACGACGACGACGACGACGACGACGACGATGATGATGATGATGATGATGATGATGATGATGATGATGATGATGATGATGATGATGATGACGAGGACGATGACGATGACGATGACGATAATGATCATCAAGTGCACCTGGGCTCAGGACTCGTCCCAGCAGCGCGACAGGGAGCGCCCGTCTCTCCACGTCCAGCGGGCGCGCCAGCCTTCGAGGCGCCCAGCGGAACGCAGCCGTCTCTCGGGCTCGCGGCGCATGACTGGACTCTGCGTGTCCTGGGCCCTTTTTCGATTTGTTTGTGCAATTCGTTGTCGCTGATATCGACGGGGCGTTGCCGCGAAATGGCACACGAGCCCAGCGCTGACGCCGTTCTTCTTGGCACGGGGATCACGAGCTGGGTTGGGTTTGTCGCCAGTAACTAGTTGAGAAGCAGGGGCGGTGGGTACTCTGGTATTCATAGTGGGTGGTCCCCGTCGGCGTTGGAGGGCCATCAGGCTGGATTCACCATTCTATTTGGACGGCAATTTCGCCGCAAGGATGTCGTCAACATCTTCGTGCCGCCGAAGGCCATCCAGGGGCGTGCTGGCGCTCTGCGGGTCAAGGGCGGCAAGTTCGACGCGACGCTGGTCGTGGTCTATCCTCCGCCGCTTGCATAGAGGGGCAGGAGGATCGTTGCTTACGAGTTGGCGGTAAAGACGGCGCACATGTGGATTGACAACATCGTCGAGGGCACGCGCGCGAGGTCTTTTTGCTTACCGTGGGTCTGGGCGTGAACAACGGTTTTTGCGAGCGCGGCGACGGCGCCTCCGCTGCTGACTCACGCTCTGGTGAATATCGGGCTCGGCTGAATCTCTCGGGCGATCTGGTTGAACAACTTTGCCCTCGCAGGTCTCTCTGCTCACCAAGTACTTGGTACCCCGAGGGTGGCCCCACTTTTTTGGGCACCGATGGGATTTGATCTATCATCGACCACTAGTTCATTCTCGAGGCTGCGCTGGAGAACGTCCTCGGGTGTAGGGTGAGCTACTATCACGGCAGGCGGCTTCAGCTCATGCCAGACCGACGCCCGCGTGATCATTTATCGTTGCTGCAGGTGCTGGGCTACATTCTGGAAATGTCTGGGGGGATTGCCTCCGCGGGCCCGACGTCTCGGCGCGCGCGGGACCTTCAGAAGCTATCCGAGGCTCTGCAGGCGGGGAAGTGGCGCGACACGCTCTTGGCACGTCTCGATGATTCGTTTGGGCAGTCTGAGAGTGAGTTCTTTAGCCTTCGCGAAGCAAAGCGAGTTGACGAACACAAGGGGTTTGTGATACAGCTGGAACAGGGGGCAGGCCAAGGGCACTTCGACGCCACCCACCTGAGCGACATAACACGGCATGTGCACGCTTGGAAGTTTAAATTGCGCTGGTTGGTCGCGTCGCGCGTGGAGGAGCGGGGGGGCGTTGCTGCTTTGGGCCCCCGAGCGTCTGACTCCACTTGGAGAACGAGCTGGTCGATCCCGCCAGGAGGGCCACGACGCAGCTGCGACTGCGGGCGAGACGGCGTCGAGCTGATCGGCGTGCGCCGTTGGAGGTGGACCTCGAGGAGGCGGGGAAGCGCGGCCCCACCTTCGGACGACATCGCCTGGCTAACCTTCTCGCTGAAGGAGCTCAGGGCGCACGACGACGGCAGTGCTGGACGACGCCAGAGCCGCGCCCTTTTGCGCAGGTGGCGGGGGCGCGCGTGGCGAGGCCGGGCGAGGAGGGAGGCGCGTCTGTCGCTCGCGTCGATCGAGCAAAGCATCTCGGGCGACGAGGCACGTTGCCACGAGCCCCCCTCGGAACGGGGCCACTGCCTCGACGCGCTGGCCGACCGAGATCTACGACGCGCGATGCGGGCCATGCGGAAGAGTTGAGAGCGGAGGGGATCTGGGCAGTGGAGCGTTCCAGTCGAGCTCCTCTCGCGCTGCTTGGAGCCTGGGCACCTGCACTACTGATCGGATGCCCCCGTTAGGATTGGGGCAGCCTGACATCGAGGAGGCGGCGCGGGCGCGCCGCTGTTGCAGGGGCGAGGTGATTGAGGTTCTTCTCCGCGCGCGTCGGGGTGACCAAACACCTGCCGTCGCTCGCGGGCCGCTCGGTCTCGCGCCCGGCAAACGCAGTGGGCGGCGCGGGCTGGGCGGCAAGCGCTCGATTCGCCTAGCCTGCAGTTTCTGTGATTCTTGGTCCAGGGACCTTAGCAGAACCATCGCGAGCGAGAGCTGAACTTCGATCCCGCGCGCCGCAGCCACTCGGCGCACAGGGGGCGGGAGGGGGCGACGCTGGTCACTCGATGCGCGGGCCGTGCTCTTCGGCGGCGAGGGCTTCGCATCGCGTCGAAGTTGCCAGACGTGTTCAACGCGTTCGCCTGCGCGCCGCTGGAGTGGATTGGCGAGGCGGTCGGAGAAATAACGGATGCGACGGGCTGGGCGTTACTTCGCGATCGGATCCATCATCGCATCGTGGAAGGCGAGGCCCGCGGCGCGGCGCTGCACCTCGCGCGCGGACGTGGAGGCCTCGCGGGCACCTGCGAGGCGACGAAGGAGTTCGCCGCGGCCCTCGAGCGCCCCGCCCAGCGCCGGCGCGCGGAGCGCGCGGCTCAGGACGAGCTGTCGACGTTCAAGACTCGCATTTTGGAGCTGCCCGCCCCGCGCGCAGCGGCGCAGTTCGCTGGCGACTTGAAGGAGCGTCGCGTCGTCCTCTCCGGCGAGGTCCCCGACGCGCGCGACACGTCAACGAGAGCCAGGCCACCCTCCCCAGGGAGCTCGAGGCGAGCGGCTTCAAGCCGAACGCCGCCGAACGCGAGCTGGTCGCCGAGCTCATTCCGACGGAGAACGCGAAGTTCAAGAAACGATTGCTTGCTGGATGTGGTCGCATCTTACTTCGCGCCCAGCATCTCGGCGGTCGGCCGCTCGCCACCCAAGAAACCGCCCCGACCCAGCCCGAAGGCTTCAAATTGCCCTCCATTCCCAGTGTGTGTGTGTGTGTGTGCGTGTGTCTGTGTCTGTGTCTGTGTCTGTGTCTGTGTCTGTGTCTGTGTCTGTGTCTGTGTCTGTGTCTGTGTGTGTCTGTGTCTGTGTCTGTGTCTGTGTCTGTGTCTGCGCATGTGTCTGTGTGTGTGTGTGCGGGGGGGGGGGGTCGCGGAACATTGAAAAATGCAGGTGGAACCCGTGCCCCCCAACCCGAAATTTGGGTCTTCGGGTTGTGTTGGGCTGGTCTGGTAGGCAGTCAGGTGCCGCGTCGACGCGCCGATGAAGGGCCGGCCCGACATGGGCCGCCCCTGGTTTGCAAATGCTCCTCGCAAGCTAGGTAGCGGGCGCTGCTCTACCAGGCGCGCGCAGCTGCGTGCTCGAGGAGTCGGAGCTTCATCGCTCGGGCGCGCAGGTCTGCAGGAGACTGAGGGCGTTGGAGGAGAGCGCGCGGGTCCGCAACAACATGCGCGGGCAAGTTCTCACGAACAAGGAGCTGACGATTAAGTGGGGCGCGCTACCGATGCGGGCGCCCCTGGCGATGCAGCGCAATCGTTGGCTTCGCGGCATGGCCCGTCGCCCGCGCGCCCATCGGCAAGTTATTGCAGCGCCATGGGCGGGTGCATTTGAGGATTCGCCGTCGCCCGTCGACGCGGAGGGGAAGCTGACTGTCGCCGCCGGCCCACGTGCGCGCCAGTTCACGCGCGACCTCATGCTGCTGGAGGACACCAGCGGCACCTCGGATTGTTCTGGGGTGTGGGTGATCGTCGGGCGTGCGTGGCAGGATCTGCGGGGCTGCGAGGACGCCCCCAGAGCCTTCCTAAAGTTCCACGCCAAGCTGGCCGAGGTCACTTTGATGAGGGGGTCTCTGCTTTGGAAGCGGCTGGCACCTAGGGCGAAAGAGAACGAGGAGGCGCCGAGCAAATCCATGTGCGACTTGTTTGGCTCCGAGGGCTCAGTGTGCGGACTGTGCTTCGACTCGCAGAAGAAGCTCGCGGCGCGCGCGACGAGGGCCCGCGGTGTGTCGAGTGGCGCGCCGCGCCCTCTTCGATGCTGTGCGATTGTGAATCAGCGCTTGAATTGTACCAGGTTGTTCGCGTCAAAAGACAGTTCTATGCGACAGGTGCAGGCATCGTGGTCTCTCGGGCGTCGCAGGCCCCCCGGGGCCTGGCAGGATTGGGAGCTGCGAGTGCCGCGCGAGATTGCTTGTGCAGTGTGCGGGCTAGATTTTGACGACCTAGCTGAATTCTACACGCGGTCTAGGCGAAAACACTTGCATCGCCCTGCTCCGCACAACGTGGACATGGCCAAGCAGCTCCTGAGGCGCGCGCAGGGTGCACGCGAACTCGGCGGGCGCCTCTTCGCCCTTTTTTTCCCGCCCGTCCGACGGCCAGGAGGCGTTGAAAATGTCAGAACAGACTCGCAACCACGCGGAGGCGGCGAAGCGCGACGGGAAGGGGCGCGCGCGCGGGGCGCCGCGCATATTGGCGTTCGCGGGGCTGGTCGAGGCGCTCGGGGCCAAGGGCATGGCCGCGGGTGTGTCCTGCGCGAAGCTGATAGAGGAGCTCTGGGAGTGGCTGGACAGTCGCAGCGTGGACGGCAAGATGGAGTTCATCCGCGCGCGCCGCCTCCAGAAGACGCGCGCAAGGAGAAGAAGCACATCACCGTCGTCTTGCGCGAGGAGCGCTAGCTCCAGGCTGTCATCCAGGGCTGCGTGCAGGTGGGCATGGCGAGGAAGCAGGGCAAGGCTCCAGCGTCTTTCATGGCGCGCGAGTTACAGGACTACCTCGGCCAGCTGCTGGAGTCCTGGAGCGACTCGAGGCGGTGACCCCCTTGCTGCGGACATGGGACATTGCGAGCCGCTTGCCTGCTGTGCTCGGAGGCGCTGCGCCCCTCGCCGCGGACGCAGGAGACTCTGAGCCAGCTGCCGTGGATGGAGGTGCCGCGGCCCCTGTTGCAGGTGAGACTCATCGCGGGCCGCCTGCGTCCAGGCGATCTAACAGGCGGTGCCCAGAAGGCCCCCCCTGTCACCCCCAATTTGGCGACCTCTCCGATCGTCTCTCCTCTCCTCCTCCTTCGACCTCGGGGTTCCGCGGAGCCCATCCTGACCCGGTCCGTGCTGCGTCGAGCCGTGGCCCCGCGTCCGCCTCTTTACCAGCGGGGCCTCAGGCCTCTGCTGACCCTGCGGGCCCCTCATCGATTGAGGCTCTTGTGGCCCGCAGGGGATCGAGCGGGGAAGCGCCCGCTGGAACACTTTCGTGGGTAGTGGAAGGTTGCGCTCAATGGTGCAACGCGCGAGGCGATATAATCTCATCTCCAGTTGACCACTTCTCGAGGACCGGTCGGCGGGGCCAGCCGCTGGGCCATAGTCGGCCCTTCACCCTGCGTCTTCGCTGGTCGTCTCGGTCACAGTCCCCGCACGCCGCCACTCGTTTTGTCATATGATAGAGTGTTCATCGGGTCAGTCCCCGAGTCTTTCGGCAAGCTCCGAGGGATAAGCGTCCTCACTAACAGCACATCTTTATATAGGGGCATACGGCGCATAATCAGAGCACATCATCGTTATCGTCACTATTATCATCATCAGCATCATCATCATCATCACCATCATCATCATCATCATCATCATCATCATCATTATCATCATTATCATCATTATCATCATCATCAGCAGCATCATCATCATCATCATCATCATCATCATCATCATCATCCGCATCACCACCATCATCATGACCATTCTATGACTTCAAATTTTCCGCGCGTCCGCGAAACGACTGGCCGCGGCCGAGTGCGAATGGAAAAGGGCCGCTGGGAGCTCTGGGCTTCGCAGAACGCATCCTGAGCCAGTCGTATCATGATATTGTTTTCGTCCCCCCGCCCCCCTCTGTTTTGCCAGACCCGCAGCAGACCGGAAGGATCGAGGTTCCAGGACAAAAGATCGAGGTCCGATGGTCCAGGACCGAGGTGGGAGATTTGAGATCCGAGTTTGTTGGATATGTTCTGCCAGTTGTGTGCTTCCGGGGGCGCATTCGTCGACGCGGCTGGGTTAGCTTCGAATTTCGGTCAGGGCACATCGTTTGGAGCCATTTTTGAGGAGGGGGCCAGACCCCTTGCTAAATTCTGATACCGTGGTGGGAATTGATCCCGTTCGGCCGCCGGGTGGGCTCGATCGCGGGCCCGTCCGGCGGCCGAACCGGCTCAGACGCAGAATGGGCTCAGAACCATGGGGTCGCGGGGACCTCCAGAGGCTTCCCAGGACCTCCAAGGACCAAGGATCTCCAGAGATCCGGAGATGCCAGACGGCGACCAGAAATAGATCGTGCCAGAACTTTTGCGAGGCAATGTCGGCGCAGGGCACCTTGCGGCCAGGATGACCCCAGGGTGATTTTTTAACCCACTCGTTTGAGCTTATGCGGCCGCCGAATTGTCAGCCGAATGCGTTCATTTCTGGACACCGCGGTGGGCCGCCGAATGGCTTCGATCGTGAGCCCTTCGAAGGCCGAACGGGCCTAGACGCCGAACGGGCTCAGAAGGGAACAGGAGACGGCGACGACGACGACGACGGCGACGACGAAGACGACGACGACGACGACGACGAGGACGAGGGGACGGAGCATGGTCCGATCCGTCCCATGAACATGAGGAGCGGGAGGAGGACGGTGTGGAGGGGCAGGGGGCAGAGTCAACCCTTACGTCGCCACACCTGTAGCCGACGGGGACGATGAGGAGGAGAACCAGAGTTAAGTCCAGGATGCATCCGCGATGCCCACTCCAGTCCCAGCCTCCCCGCACAGGTTCCCGCAAAGCACCCATGCCCATTGCGGGGAGCCGCCCTTCCGTATAGAGGCGGGCATCCAGTGGCGGCATCCCGCTCCAGCAGGAGAGCCCTGCAGGGGCCGAGGGTGACGAACAATAGAGATTCTCGTCCACCAGCCTCTCCTCCTGCTCCCCATCCTCCCCCCGTCTCCTCTCAGGCACAATGATGAAGGGGGGATATTCTCCCCGCTCCGCTTGTTGTCCAGAGCGCTGCGCGGTGCCCGAGGGCCCCCCTCGCCGAGGGCCTTCGAAAGATCTCCGAGAGGCCCCCTGAGGATCCTTTCCCAGGGGGGCTCTTCGACGGGGGGGGGAGGTGGCAATGAGTTTGGGGTCAGAAGCGTGCACCCTGCGTGCACCTCTTAGGCTCGCGGTGGCAGTCTAGGGGCCGTTCAGGGCCACTGTCCTGCAATCGTCGTTCCTCCCGGTCGCCTTTGCGGGCGGGCGCATGCAAGGCGACGACGATGCAGTGCAACGAGGAGCAGGAGGATGAGCAGGAGGAGGAGGAGGGCGAGGAGGAGGAGGAGAAGGAGGAGGAGGAGAAGCAGGAGGAGGAGGAGGACGGAGGCGATCCTTGATCCTGCATCTTTAGGGGGTCCCGCCTGGCGCGCGCGCGCACCGCAGGCGAGGCCAGCCAGCGCGGCCGCCCCGGGCACCTCCGCGCTCGGGCCCGGAGCCGCGGCGGCCGTCGGGGGGCGTCCGACGACGACGACATCACGCCGACGACGACGACGACGACGACGACGACGACGACAACGACATAAAAACCGACGACGACGACGATGACATAAACGCCGACGACGACGACGACGACGAAAACGACGACGACGACGACGACGACGACGACATTAACGCCGACGACGACGACGTAAACAACGACGACGACGACGTAAACGACGACGACGAGAACGACGACGACGACGACGACGGAAACGACGACCACGACGACGACGTTGTAAAACGACGACAATGTAAACGACGACAACGTAAACGACGACGTAAACGACGACGATGGCGACGAGGACGACGACGACATAAACGACGACCACGACGACGACGACGACGTTGTAAACGACGACAAACGTAAACGTAAACGTAAGCGACGACACCGCAACGTAAGCGACGACAACGTGAACGACGGCGACGACGACGACCACGTGAACGCCGACGAAGACGTAAATGACGACGACGAAGCACACGACGTACACGACGACGACGAAGTTCACGACGACGACGACTGCGACGACGACGTCAGCGACGACGACATACACGACGACGACGTAAGCGACGACGACGTACACGACGACGACGACGACGTAAACGACGACGTTGTAAACGACGACGTAAGCGACGACGTAGACCACGACGTCAACGACGACGTGAAAAACGACGTAAACGACGACGTCTACGACGACGTCACCGACGACGTCAACGACGGCGTCAACGACGACGTAAACGACGACGACGACGTCCACGACGACGTCCACGACGACGTAAACGACGACGTACCCGACGACGTACCCGACAACGTAAAGGACGACGTAAACCACGACGACGACGTCGTAAACGATGACAACGACGACGACGACGTAAACGACAACGCCGGCCACGACGACGACGAGAACGACGGCGACGACGACGACGTAAACGCCGACGACGACGACGTAAACGACGGCGACGACGACGACACCGACGACTTCGACGGCGATGACGTAAGCGACGACGACGACGACGTAAACGACGACGTAAACGACGACGCCAGCGACGACGTGAACGACGACGTAAACGACGACGACGTAAACGACGGCGTAAGCGACGACGTAACCGTCGACGTTAACGACGACGACGTCAGCGACGTCGACGACGACGACGTACATCACGACGTAAACGACGACGACGTGGACGACGACGACGACGACGACGTAAACGGTGACGACGACGACGACGACGACGTAAACGATGACGACGACGTCGAGGACGTCACCGACGACGTAAACGGCGGCGACGACGACGTAAACGACGACGTAAACGACTACGACGTCAACGAAGACGACGACGACGGAAACGACGACGGAAACGACGACGTCAACGACGACGTACACGACGACGTAAACGAAGACGTAAACGACGACGTAAATGTCAACGAAAATGTCAACGACTACGGCAACGACCACGATGTGAACGACGACGTTGACGACGACGTAACCGACGATATAAACGACCACGTAGACGACGACAACGTAAACGACGACAACGACGGCGTATCCGACGACGTAGACGACGACGTCGACGACGTTGTTCAGGACGTAAACGGCGACGTAAAAAACGTCGTAACCGACGACGTAAACGACGACGTCAGCGACGACGTCAACGACGACGTGAACGACGACGCATGCGACGACGACGACGACGAGGTTCCACCGCGTGGTGCTACCGCCGTCGCCATTGCCCTCAGCAGCCCTGGGCCATCAGACCACAAGGCCCAAACAGGGCGCAGAGGAGGATACAGTCAGCCCAGCCCTTTTACTAGCCGTCCGAAGTGCCGCCGCCAGGAGTCGCTGATCCGCTTGACCAAGACGAAGACCCCAAACAGAGACATTCACTATGGCTGGCTATGTCGAAGTCGCCTCTTCCGTTTGACCACAGCAGGGCCCCAAAACAGGAGAGAAAGACGTGACGTGCTAGCACTGCCCGTAGCTTGCGCCATCGGGCAAGGCCAGCCAGCAAGACCAGGACTCGAAATAGGGCAAGCTAGCACGAACACCGATTGAAGTGGTGTAGTCGGCTCTTGACTTCGTCTCCAGGTACGGGTTACGGGTCCAATGGCACGCAACTCGATTGCCAATGTGTGGGCAACTCCGAGTCCAGCTGAGCGCCCCTTCAAGTCTGCCAGTAACGATGACTGGCGGACGCGCGTACTGGGTATTACTCTTCACGCCGAGCCGCTGCGAACTCCACAGCCCCATCCAGTCTACATTCAGTGCCGCAGCATCATCCCGTCCTCTTCGCGTTCCCCCTCCGCCCGTGTCCAGGGCTATTGCAGGTTCATGCCATCATCATTGCACTACCAGATGGAACTGTTGACCTGCGTTGCCGTCGGTCCGATATCATCATTATCCTCGAAAACAAAAAGCATCTCCCTCTTCCTCATCCTTCTCCTCCTCGTATATTTCCTCCTCTCATCTCTCCTCCTCCCGGAGGAGTCGAGGCCGTTCTGCACGGCCCCGCCCTCTCCGCCGTGATGGAGGCGCACCGCCTCGAGGGCCAACATTGGTCGGAGGAGTGCCGCACCGCTGCTTCGCTCGTCGTCGGCACCGTCGTCTTCATCGCCGTTGGAGTGGAGTGCGAACGTATCTCGGGGGCGGCCCAGAGAGGGGTGATGCTTGGGAAGCGGCGGGGGGGGTACCATGGCCGGGGCCATGAGATCTCCGCAGATTTAACGGCGCCTCTTCTTATTTCAATACGCCTCCTGGTGGCCTCCCTGAACCGCGCACGTGCCTGGGGCCATGATTTGCGGACCCCCTCTTGGACGCCTCCCTTTTGGACAGCCGCAAGTATCCATATCCACGCCCTCGCGGTCTGGATCGAGGGCGCGATCCTAAGGATACGCAGGAATACGTTTCGGGCGGGATTTTCTGGAAAAAGTGCCCCGCATCCACGGAGTCGCGGCCCAGAGGCCCCGCCGGGGAGGCTGTTGATACGGATAGGTTTCCCGCCCACGACACGGGGAGGGGGAGGGAAGGGGACAGAGGAGGAGGGCCAGGGGTCCCGAAATAGGTTCTGGCACGTGTTCTTCCGAATTGTAGGATTGCCCAACATTTCAAATTGTCCGCATGTTCGGAAATCAAGCACGAGGCTCGGCGGATGCTGCGGGCTAGACTGCCCGATGATAAGGATAATCGCCGATACTATGTCTGCAAGACCCCGTCCCGGAAAAAACCCGTCGTCGGGATTAGCAGGAGGGGGAGGGGCAGGAGGCGTCGTTTCTTGCTGCCTCCCGAGGAGGAGGGAGAGAGGGGAGAGAGAAGGGAGACGGGAGCACGGGGGAGTTCCGCCGACGCCGATGCAGAGGCCTCCGCAGGTCGACCGAGGCCTCCAGAGGCCCAAAACGTAAACAAGCACGCTCCGAAGGTGAAGCCTCCAAACGCGATCGACGGCGCCAACGCCGCCGCCGCCGCCGACGGCGACACTGACGGCGACGGTGCCGACGACGACATCATCGAAGATCACACACTGAAAACGGCACCAACGCTGACACCGGCCCAGCGCCAGCGCCGGCGCCGACGCCGCCGCCGTCGACGACGACGACGACGACGATGACAAGAACGGAAGCGACGACGACGACGCCGACGACGCCGACGACAATGGTAACGATGGCGCCCTCGTCCTCGTCGTCGTCTTCGTCGTCGTCGTCTGCGGCGGCGCCCCGCGGCCGCGCAGGGCTGGAGCGTGGAGGTGCGGGACGTGCCCCAGCGGCCCGAGCTGCGCGGGCGCCGAGGAGCCCAGCGCACGCCCATCCGCGTCGCCCGTACCCCCTCCTTTGGGGGCGGCCAAGAGTCGGTTGATGACTAGGACCAGGAGTAGGTGGATACAATGGCGGGGGCCATGATACCCCCCCGGATCTCATGCCCCCCTCTGCTTCCTTGGTTACGTCTTTTGGTCCCCCCCATCGTCCGCGCACGTGCTTGGGGCCATCATTTGCGAGCCCCCCTCTGGGACGCCCCCACACCCTGGCCGCACCGGACTCCTCTAGAGGCGAACGTCGGGGGCAACGATAATCGAGTGCCCGAGATAATCAAGCATCCCCCCCTTAACACCTGAGGGTTGATTATCCCAGACCAAGACAGAGTTTGTCGGGGAGGGGCGGCGAGGCTGAACTTCATGATATCTGTTTTATGTTGAGTGCCATATGATTTGAGGGGTTTCTGCGGATCTCACGTCACCCTGGCCCCCTTGTTCCGTTTCTGGCGAGATCCTGGAAATCCGGCGACGAATTCCAAATTGGCGCCTTCGCGTGGGACATCCTCAGAAAAACGACCCCGAGCCTTAAGAGGACCCACTGTTCCGATTCTTGCGAGATCCAGGAAATCCGGCGACGAATTCCAAACCGGCGCCCTCGCGTTTGACATCCTCAGAAAATTGGCCCTCGGAGGCTCCCCGAGGAGGCCTTCAGAGGCCGCCCTGTCCCGTTTTCAGCGAGGTCCGGGAAATTCGGCAACGAACTCCAAATTGCCGCCTTCGCGTGAACTGGCCCCCGAAGCATCCTCAAGGAGGCCTTCAGAGGCCCCCTGTTCCGTTTCTGGCGAGACCCGGGAAGTCCCGCGACGAATTCCAAACCGGCGCCCTCGCGTGGGACATCCTCAGAGAATTGCCCCCCGGAGTATCCCCAGGGAGGCTTTCAGAAGACCTCGTCCCGCTTCCAGCGAGATCCGGGAAATCTGGCGACGAACTCCAAACTGGCTCCTTCGCGTGCATCCTCAGAAAACCGGCCCCCAGAGGCTCTCGAGGTTTTCAGAGGCCCCTTGCTCCTCTTCCAACGAGATCCAGGAAATCTGGCGATGAATTCCAAAGTGGCGTCCTCGCGTTTGACATCCTCAGAGAACCGGCCCCCAGAGCATCCCCAAGGAGGCCTTCAGAGGCCTCCCTGCTCCAATTCCGGCGAGATCCGTCGGCGACGAATCCCAAACTGGCGCCTTCGCGCGGGACATCTTGAGAAAACCGGCCCCCAGAGCATCCCCAAGGAGGCCTTCATGGAGGCCCCCATGTTCCGTTTGCGGCGAGATCCAGGAAATTTGGCGACGAATTCCAACCTGGCGCCTTCGCGTGGGACATCCTCAGAAAATTGGCCCCGCGAGGCTTCCCAAGGAGGTATTCATGGAGGCGTTCATGTTCCGTTTCTGGCGAGATCTGGGGCGAGATTTGGGATATCCAGAGACGAATTCCAGACCAGCGCCTTCGCGTGGGACATCTTCAGAAAACCGCCCCCTGAGCCGGAGCTTGCACAAGGAGGCTTTCAGAGGCCGCCCTATTCCGTTTGCGGCGAGATCCGGGAAATTTGGCGACGAATTCCAAACCAGCGACCTCGCGTGGGACACCTGGAGGATCCCCAAGGAGGTCTTCAGAGGCCCTCTTAATGCCGATTCCGGCGAGATCGGGAAATCCCAGATGCCCCCCTGTTCGGTTTCGGGTGCTGCTAGAGGTGCCCCTGGGCCGAGGTGCCGCCAGGGGCGCCAGGTATGTCGAAGCGACGTGCAGGGGGTCGTCCCGGACGTGCATGATGCTAGAACCTTTGCCCGAGATGTTCGCTTTGTGTTTTCCAGGGGCGTTTCAGTTCGGGCCCCAGGTAAGAACGCATTCTTGAAAGGGGCTGCCCATTCATATCGTTCGCCGTCGTCCAAACAGGCGCTTTGCGGTAAGCCCAGACACCCGCCGACGTCATTTCCGCGTCGGCCGCGGGCGCGGACCTACATTGTAGGATCTCGTTTAGCGAGCGTTCCTTCGCGCATGATGGCATGGGCGGGTTTGTCCGTGGAGGAATTCTTCACAGCGTGGCGAAGTATATCAGAGTGAGGGGGCCGAACGGTCTGACAGTGTCCCTGGGTGCGTGGCTGAAGTGGGGGCCCACGGTGAGGATTCTGCTTGTTGTCGTTATTCCCCATATCCTAATCCGATAGCCCTTATAACGGCGACGATGGAACACAGTGCCGGGGAACTGCTTTGAACATCACCAGTCGTTCAAAGCAGTGCCCCGGCACTGCTTTGAACGATGCGGAAATGCGATCAGCAGGAGCCTTCGTCTGGTCCTTCTCCTCTTCTCGTCGCTGTATGCTCTTCCTTGTCCTC